ATGGGTCTTCTGACAACATCATTTTCGATGATGACAAAAGGGAAAGACTTTAAGTATATGTTCCAATTAGGGGTGCACATAGTTCGGTTTGGTTCGGTTCGGTAAGGTTCCTTAAAAATAGAATCAGAACCGGAACCATGTGTATAAGACTTTAAGCCTTTGAGCCCATAACTATAATAATTAAACAAAATACAATAGTGTGTGGGTGTAGATCAGAGAAACCGTGTGATCATGTTGCTGACTAAGAAGTTTGAGATGATGTGGGGGTGTAAATCAGAGAAGCCGTCTCAAGAAACAGAATTACAGAGAAGATGAAAACAAGTTCTGATCGGAGAAACCGTGTTACACTGTCGCTGACTGAGATGGTGTGTGGGCGATACAGAAGATGAGAGGATGAGATGACTAATGAGGACTGAAGATGAGAGGATGAGATGGCTGATGAGGACCGAAGATGAGAAGATGAAAGACTGATGAGGACTGAGGATAGGAGGCGACGGCTTCAAAAAATCAAATATCAAAACTTGAGAGTTGAGATAAGGGCTGAGGAATAGAGGTGAAGGTTAGATTTAGGTTTAGATGAGAGTTGAGTTTTTGTGGTTTAGTGGTGGACCACATGTTACTGCTATATGGTATGACTGACAATTAGTAGTATGTAATTAATAATATATATATATATATATATATATATATATATATATACGATTCCGGTTTCTAACGGTTCCCACGGGTTTGGAACTGGAACCGAACCGTAAGCCCACGGTTCTAAATTTTCAGAACCGAGACCGGAACCTAAACCGAAGCGCTGGTTCAGTTCAGTTCCGCGGTTTTTTTTTTGTGCAGCCCTAGTTCTAATGCATATACACACTTAATGTAGCGGTGGTGTTGAGTGATGGTTGAGGTGGCGACATAGTGTCTAACTCTTATTAGAGACTTGACAATATGATTCGAAATATTCAATACATTTTTAGTGATTAATATAAATTTTTTGACAAAGTTCTTTTCGATGACGATAAAAGGGAAGGTTTTTAAGCATATGTTGAAATTCATGTGCACATTTCGTGCTACAGTAATATCATGTCACGTGATACCTCTGGCCAATTATATCTTCTTAAATATTCATTTTTGGCAAAGTTGTTTTTGACGACGATAAAAGAAAAATCTTTAAGCATTTATTTAAATGTCTGTACACATTTAATGCCTTAGTGGTGGTGAGTGATTGTTGAGGTGGTGATATAGTATTTAATTCTTATTGGAGACTTAACAATTTGATTCAAAATATTTGATATTCTTGGTGATTAATATTGGTCTTTTGACAATGTCATTTTCGATGTCGATAAAAGGAAAAGTCTTTAAGCATATGTTTAGATGCATATATATACTTAATGCCGCGGTGGTGGTGAGTGATGGTTGAGGTGGTGACATAATGTCAAATTTTTATTGGTTATTTGACAATATGATTTGAAAGATTCGTTATTTAGGTGATTAATATTAATTTTTTTGCGAAGTTCTTTCCGATAATGACAAATAGGAAGGTTTTTAAGCATATTTTCAAATGTATGTGCACATTTTATGCAATAGTAATATAATGTCACTTGATATCACAATCAATTATATTTTCTTATAAAAATGATAATTTTTGGTAAAGTTCTTTTCGATTACGACAAAAAGAAAAGTCTTTAAGGATATATTTAAATGCGACGTAAGCAGAAGTGATAAATTTGTTCACAAGGAACGATTTACTTTGAATTCACAAAGTATGGTGTTTTGAATCTACAAAACGAAAGATAATTTAAAAAAATCTAATATTTGTAATAATAATTGAATGAATGATTCTGATCTCTACATTACATATATTTATAATAAAAGAAAACTCTAATCTATAAGGAAAATAACTGTAACTCGAATCCTTATAACATAAAGAAACCTGATCTCCAAAGGATACTAATACTCGAAAGTAAGCCTAAAATAAATTTTAACTAAAAACTATGAAAAAATAGAGAAAGAAACCTAGTAAAATAAAAGTACTAAATATAAAATGTGAGTGCAATCTGAGTTCGTTTAGACAATAAACAAAAATTCTGAAATATTCAAAACGCTTCTTCTGGACAAAAAAAATCCCGTTTTGAGGCCCTAAACGATGGTATTTCACCAAAAAAACACATTACATCACAACAAAGATGTGTGTCTTGTTTGCTGGGCCATTTCTAGTAAAAAAAAAACTCTCATATCGGGTAAAAAATGCATAGTTTAGGATCAGCCTGGAAAATCTGGCGGTCCAAACGGGCCATAAAGACTTCATCAACCAATTCTACATCAGTATCCCCTGCTTGAAAAGAACTCATCCTTATGTTAAGATTGAAAGAGCGTGTCTCATCTGGCAAAAAATACTCAAATAGATTTGCAACATTAAATGTAGTTATGTTTTCGGGAAGCTCAATAACATAAACATTATCATTAATCTTCTTCTGAATCTGATAAGACCCATAATTCTTGTTCTTCAATTTATTATAGGTACCAACAGGAAACCTCTCATTGCGTAGAAACACCATAACTAAATCTCCTTCTTGAAAAACTTTCTCTCGCCTCTTATTGTCTAATGCTTCCTTGTATTTCATATTGGCTTGTCCAAGATGCTTTTGAACCTCACCCTGAACGGCTTGGATACAATCTACCATGTGTTACGCAGAAACACTATTTCCAGGCAACTTCGGAAGTGGGACCAAATCCAGCGCATGCTTTGGCGGATAATAGTAAACAATAACAAAAGGTGATTTTCCCGTTAACCGATTAACTATGTTATTGTATGTAAATTCTTCCTGTGATAACGCAAGATCCCACTGTTTTGGTTTCTTAGGAGAAATACAATGAATTAGATTGCCCAAAGTCCGATTAACCACCTTTGTTTAACCATCAGATTGCGGATGACTAGTATTACTAAAATTCTAAGATGTGTCCCTATCTAAAGTGATGAACTTAAGAACTCCATGAAAACGTAAAACTTCCTTGAAGAACATATTTGCAACATGTGTAGCATCAGAAGTCTTCTTGCAAGCTATGAAGTGAGTCATCTTCGAATAACGATCAATAATTACAAAAACTGAATTTGCCCCTCGTCGAGTGCGTGGAAGTCCTAGGACAAAATCCATCAACAAATCCTCCCAAGGACAATCTGGTGTAGGTAGAGGGGTATAAAGACCAGTGTTTTGAGACTGATGATGAGTACTGAAAAATGCGTATTTAAACCCCTTAAGCTCGAGTATTCTAGGACCTTTATCTATCTTATTTTCCCGTTTTAGACTAATTTCATATTATTGCCCTTTTCAGGAGTTTATCCCCAAAATAAGTCAATTCAACCAAATTAGAGCATAAAAGAAGCAATCTCATGCTAAATAGAAGAAATGAGCAAAACGATCGATCTCACAATGATCGATTTAGCCTCACCAAGATGGATCAGACCCCTTGTCCATATCCTCAATAATTTCCATCTTCGGTTGATCCAACTTTCATTTCGATCAATCGAACTTCTTTGATCTTATTCCCACCTACCACTTTTATCTTTTTCCCAAAATATCCCAAAAAATATCTCAGACTTGTCCTATTCTAAAAAGGCGCCGCCAGGGTTTGATCAATCTGAACATTTTTTGATTGATCTCATCAGAATTCGATCAATCGAATCTCCTCAAGTTCGAAATAAAACAGAGTCCAGCTCATTAAAAGATGGCTCGTGGTGCAATCATTGAAGGGGCCTTAGTGCACGAGACCTGACCATTGGGTGTGATATTGGAGCTACTTATATAAGGATTTTGAGCCATTTTTACACTATAGATAGATATATAGATCATCATACAACAATAGAGGAGGAGAGAGCTTAGAGATTAGAGACATACGCACCATTTGGGAGTTTTTCCATTCATCTAGGGTTTCCATCAAGAAATAGATCATTCTTACCATGGAGATGGCCCTTGAAGGTTGGATGACTAAATCAATGAGTAGCTAAACATCTTCTTGGGGTTAGAGTTAGCCTTAAGCATGCCTTCTAGACCTTGATGTTTTGTATTTTGAGGAGATTTGTATTGTAATCTTGTTTTGACATTTGATTTATATATGAATCTTGTTTCTACAGTGATTTGTGTTTTTTAGTGCTTCTAATTGATCATTTCATTCTATTCATATGTCTATGTATGCTATAATAGATGTTCATGTATTTATCTCTTGGTTTTGTGATATTAATGCATGTCTATGTGTGTTGATGTTATGAATTTAGAGATTGTCAAGGCATGGTGCTTTAATGGAATACTCTTGTGGCTTGTTTGATGATTCATACTCATTTCTTGATGGATTGTGCCTCTACCTTAGTTTAATTAGTTTAATTTTCATGTCTCTAGTTTAATTATAGTGTAGTTGCCTTATTTTCCTAGATGAGAGGACAATCCATGCTTGTTGTTTGATATTCCATGCTTATGAATGCAAGTAGTATAATTCTTTAGCTTGTTAAAGTGTTTGATTGTGAGCTTAGATGAAAGAATAATGGCTTAGTTTGATATATTGTGCTATTTATTAGGTTGTCTAGATAATGTATGCTTAATTAGTCATCCATACTTGTTGATTCAATCAATCACACATATTGGTATTGCAACATATATTTCCCCTCATTCATTACACAATCAGTATCTAGAAAAGTGATGTTTAGTGATGACCTCTAAATCTCAAGACCTCTCACTCTTGTTCTTTACCCCTTTACTTACTTTAATTGCTTTGCATTGAATTTATTTACATTGTAGTTTAATTAACCAATCAAATCACCTTTTGATCACTCGACCTACTAGCCCGACCTTATTTCCATATTAACATTGTCCCCAATCCCTTGGGACAATCCCTACTCACCCTAGCTATATTAGTAGTTAGAGGTAGTAGTGGCACTTTATAAATTCAAACTTGGCCATTCTCTAACACATGTTAACTTGTCCTTTCGAGGAAAGACACAACTGACCTTTAGCATATTAACAGATTGGACACCACCATGTATGGTTGCCAACATCCCTCTTGAGTTGTGGCCAATAATATCGCTCTTCGACCGAAGCTATAGTCTTATCTTGACCAAGATGTCCACCTAGATCACCACCATGTAATTCATGAATAATCTGCTCACAAAGGGAACTCCTCGGAATACAAAGCTGATTGCCAAGAAAAAGAAATCAAACCTCTATGTGCATACTCTCAGCAACCTGTCCAGTCTGACACTTATCCCAGAATCCTTAAAGTCATCATTTTCCCCATACAACTCCTTCAAACAGTCAAAACCCACAACTTTAGCTTGTAAAGTCACTAGGAATGCTGCTCTTCGGCTATGTGCATCAGCGACTCTATTTTGTTGGCTTGATTTATGCTTTAATGAGAAGGTAAATCACTGTAGGAAAGAAACCCATCTGGCATGCATCCTGTTAATATTATTCTGACTGTTGATGAACTTCAAAGCCTGATGATTAGTGTAAATAACGAACTCTCTCTGCACTAGATAATGTTTCCAAATCGTCAATGCACGTACCACTGAATAGAACTCAAGCTCATAGGTAGTTTACTTCTTCCTCGCATCACTAAGCTTCTCAACATAGAACACAACTGGTCTGCTCTCTTAGGATTGAACAACATCAACTCCGACAACTGAGGCATCACACTTAACCTCAAACAATTTCTCAAAGCTTGGAAATGCTAGAATAGGTGCATTAGACAATTTTTCTTTGATCAGTGCAAATCTTTGTTTTACCTCTTCACCCCATTTAAATTTACTATTCTTTAAACATTCTATAATAGGAGCAACAATACTACTAAAATATTTGATGAATCTCCGATAAAACGTTGCTAAACCATGAAAACTGCGCACATCGCCTACTGTTTTTGGTATACGCCGTTCTTGAATTGCCCGAACTTTTTCCTCATCAACCCGAATGCCTTCAACACTTACCACAAAACCCAGAAACATTAAAATGTTGGTCATTACAGTGCACTTAATGTATAGCTTTTTTTGCCTGCAAAACTGTCAGTACTTCTCTCAAGTGCGATTAATACTCCGCATCTGACTAACTATAAATCAGGATATCATCAAAATATACAACACTAAATCTACCAAAAAAAAGGTTTCAATACCAGATTTATAAGCCTAAAAAAAGTGCTTGGAGCATTAAACAACCCAAACGGTATCACTAACCATTCATACAGACCCTTCTTAGTTTTGAAAGCAATTTTCCATTTATTCACTTGTCTAACACAAATCTTGTGGTAACTGCTTCTCAAATCAATCTTTGAAAAGAGTTTTGAACCAGCCAGCATACCCAACATATCATCTAACCGTGAAATAGGAATTTTGTACTTGATGGTGATCTTGTTGATGGCTCTACTGTCGATACACATACTCCAACTACCATCCTTCTTTAGTACTAACAAAGTTGGAACAACACACGGGCTTATACTCTCCCTCACCATACCCTTTTAAACTAATACCTCAACTTGGTCATGCAGAATCTGACATTCTTTTGGGCTCATGCCATAGTGTGGTAAATGCGATAGACTAGCACCACACATAACATCTATGTAGTGCTGAATATCTCGTATATGAGGTAGACCACTAGACAACTCGTCTGGAATAATCTCTTAAAACTCTTCAAGCATGACCTGTAACACTATTGGACTTGTAAAAGGAGTATCAGACACCACTCTCCAACCACTAGCGCTAAAAACTGTCCGGGCTCTTTGGCCTCCTCCAAAAACTGTTGCTCACTGCCGATTAAAAGAACTGATTTTCCATTGGCTTGTGAAACTTTAGAAAAATCCCCTTTGGTCATAGGACCCAACATAATCTTTTGCCCTCCTTTATCAAACATGTAAACATTATATCTGCCCTTATGAGTGGCGTTAACGTTAAACTGCCATGGTCTGCCTAGAATCAAGTGACAAACATCCATATCAACAACATCGCATAACGCCTCATCAATATACTTATTCCCAATAGAAAAGAAAACCTTGCAGATATTTGTAACCCTTGTTTCTGCCCCTTTTAATTTAGCCAATTTTGTGGGGACTCGGATGTTTCTTTGTTTTCAGCCCTAACTTCTAGACCATCGCCCTTGAAACAATATTCTCGCTGCTGCCACTATCAATAATAACATCACAAACTTTTTATTGACAGTGCACCGTGTCCGGAATATATTATGCCTATGTAGATACTCTTCCGTTTTCAGGGTAAGTAACAACATTTGTACAACTAGAGAATGTGAATATAGATCCCTCTCAACTTCTCTGATCACCTCTTCCTCATCGTATAAAGGAAACCTTCGTCAGCTTCTCTATCTTGATCCTCCTTACCCTAAGGTTCTATTAAATTTACCGAGCACTATTGGGGACATTCATTAGATCAATGCCCTGGTTGCCCGTATCGATAACATTTAATGGGGTCTGACTGACTGTAGGGATTATTTTTGGATGTATATCGACTTGCTACGGGAGCTGTTTCGGTCTTCTTTGGCTGAGTACTGTTGCTAATGGAAGGTTGAGAATACATGGGTTGTTTTGATTTGTTCGTCGCTGAACGCGTCGAATAAAAGTAATTCCTGGAGTCAGCCGGTGTTTTCGCTTTCTCCAAAAAGGCCTCTACCATGGTTGCTGCATTCGTGGCTTCTGCTAAAGTGTAAATTATTTGTGTTGATACCCTATCATGAATAGCATATTACAGACCATTCAGATAACAAACAACTCACTGCATCTCAGTTTCCCTTAGGTCATTCCGAGACGTCAACCGATTAAATTCTTTCGTATAGGCCTGAACCTTTCGACTTCCTTTTTTGCAATCCTGATACTTCTGGAATAGAGTCTGCTCATAATCTGGCTGCAGGAATCTGCCCCTTATCAAACGCTGCATCTTTTGCCAGGAGTGTACTGGTGTCTTCCCTTTCCGTGCACGAGTAAGCTAAAGATGTTTCCACCACGCAGAAGCTCCTCCCTTGAGCCTTTATGCCACTAGTTTTACCTTTTTATCTTCTTGGATATGCATGTAATCAAAGAATCTCTCAACTTCTACATACTAATCCAAGATATCTTCAATATTAAGATTATTGTTAAAAATGGGGAGATCCATCTTTATACGAAACTCCCTAGAATCACGATCTCATTGATCCCAATATCTTCCAGCCCCTCTATTTTCCCCAAGCACCTCTTCAACATAGTCATCATCACTGAAGTCTTCCTCATAGGCTGGTTGCCTAAGCGGCGAGATGGGGCTGCGATTCCAAAAAGGACGAACGTGATCTTCGTTAATGTTTTGCACCCTACTGTTATCATGATTATGATTTGGACCCAACGCAAGCCCAATAAGGGTTACTTGAATTTATTGCAATGCCTATTGGGTTATTTGTCGAAAATCTTGGAATTTGCCCCTTGAAAGAGCCTTTCTCTATTGATCTTCGTCGCCAGCGAAGTTGCCATCACCATGTTCATCTGCCATCAGACCAGGAAAAGACAAGGCTCTGATACCAACTAACATAAGCGGAAGCGATAAATTTGTTCACAAGGAACGGTTTACTTTGAATCCACAAAGTAGGATGTTTTGAATCCACAAAACGAAAGATAATTTTAGAGAAATCTGATATTTGTATTGATAATTGAATGAATGATTCTGATCTCTGCATTACACATATTTATAATGAAAGAAAACTAATTCATAAGGAAACTAATTGCAACTCGAATCCTTAAAACATAAGGAAATCCAATCCCGAAAGGATACTAATACTCGAAAATAAGCCTAAAAAATATGATAAAATAGAGAAAGAAACATAATTAAATAAAAATACTAAATATAAAATATGAGCGCAATCCGAGTTCGTTTAAACAACGAACAAAAATCCTGAAATATTCAACAAGTTTATTTCGGACAGAAAAACCCCATTTTGAGGCTCTAAATGATGGTATTTAGCCTAAAAACACGTTATAATATAGCATTGCTGTGAGTCTTGCTCGTTAGTCTATTTCCAGTCAAAATACTCTCTTGTCGAGTAAAAAACGCATACTTCAGGATTAGCCCAGAAAATCTTTTAACATGCCCGTTTGGCCTCCTGGCAGTCCAAATGGGCCATAAAAGCTTTAGCAATCAGTTCTACATCAAAATTCTTGTACACACATATGCCTTAGTGATGGCGAGTGGTTATTGAGGTGGTGACATAGTGTCAAACTCTTATTGGAGACATGACAATTTGATTCAAAACATTTGATATTCTTAGTATGGGTGGCAATTTAGCCCACCCCGGCTAGTTTTTGCCTCGCCCCACCCCTGATTGGGCAGAAATGATAATATGCCCCTAAATAGGATATGGGTGGTTATGGTATTAATAAGTGTAACTTGAGTCGGGTTCAGGGCGGGGGTGGATATGTACTTAAGCCCGCCCTGATTAAGTATGTATACATGTAGCCTACGGAAGCCTTTAGCTATTATCATTTTACTATCCTTATATATAATAATAATAATAATATAAGTTAAGGTTTTTGACTATTCAGTTATGCTTTATCTTCCTTGCGCTTTGTCTTTTAGAGAATCCACATGATGCAGCCACCGGTGCCACTCTCTCTCTCTGCTCATCGTGACGTCGATCAACCTTCTGGCTACATCCCGATGCTTGTGGCCTAGGACTCTCTACATTGATCAAACTTCTCATTCTTTCTCAGATCCCCCTTTCTCTATCTCAATCTTCTTCTCTCTAATCTATCATTCTGTTTCTCTATTGGACCATTCATTGTTCATAGTTCTTGTAAGAACATATGTATCTTGTTATTGTTCAGACCATTAGTGGCTTAATTGGGGTAGAAGGGGCTCAGGATGGGAGGCTAAATACCTTCAAGGGACGGGGATGGTATTGCTACCAAAAACCCATCCCAGGGTCAAGGTAGGTAAGGAGTGACAGAACTTCAAGCGGGGCAGGGTAGGATTTTGTTAAACTAGTCCCAAACCCACCTGTTGCCATCCCTAATTCTTGGTGATTAATATCAGTCTTCTGCCATTGTCCTTTTCGATGATGACAAAATAGAAAGTCTTTAAGCAAATGTTCAAATGCATTTAGTCTTTAAGCAAATGTTCAAATGCATTTACACACTTAATGAAGTGGTGGTGGTAAGTGATGGTTGAGACGGTGGTATAATGTCTCACTCTTATTGGAAACTTGACATTATGATACAAAGATTCAATATTCTCGGTGATTAATATCAATTTTTTGGCAAAGTTTTTTTCGATGATGACAAAAGGAAAGGTCTTTAAGTATATATTCAAATGCATGTGCACATTTCTTGCAATAGTAATATCACGTCACGTGATATCACTGGTCAATTATATATTCTCTTATAAATATTAATTTTTGACAAAGTATTTTTCCATGGTGACTAAAAGGAAAGTCTTTAAGCATATATTTAAATGCATGTACACATTTAATGCCTTGGTGGTGGCGAGTGGTCGTTGAAGCAGTGACATAGCATTTAACTTTTATTGGAGACTTGACAATATGATTCGAAAGATTCGATATTCGTAGTGATTAATATCAATTTTTTTTGCAAAGTTCACATTTCGTGCAACAGTAATATTATGTCACACGATATTACCGGCCAATTATATATTCTCTTGCAAGTATCAATTTTTTTGACAATGTTCTTTTCAATGACTACACAAGGGAAGGTCTTTAAGCACATCTTCATATGCATATTCGCACTTATTTTAAGAAATAATTTTTTTAAAAAGTCATTAGTGCATCAGAAATATCATACTACGTGATATTACCAGCCAATATATCTTCTTACATAAATATCAATATTTTGGCAACGTTTTTTATTTATATATATATATATATATATTTTTTTATGACAACAAAAGGGAGGGTATACTCCTATTATAAAAGATAATTTTAGAGAGAGTTGTTAGCGAAACAGTAATACCATGTCATGTAATATCACCAACCAATTTTATATTGCCATATAAATAGAAATATTATGTAAGTGTACTCCATTACTATCTAATCGTGATACCATGTCGTTAACACCTTCGTAATAAAATATTTTTCCCCATAAGTGCGGTGTATCAATTAGAACACAAATGAAAAAGATGGTGCAAATATAGCATCACTCCAATAAAATTTCAAAATGAGGTAGACCACTAATTTTTAGACATCAAATCGATACGGTTAAATTTAAAATGGAAGGAAATCTAGTTTAATCGTATAAATTAAATTTTTTTCAATTCCAATTCCAATTCTAAGGTGCTGGTCGAATGCTTTCCAAATGCAACATAAAAATAGATTTGAAAATCCTTAAGGAGTTTTCTTGCTCCACTTATTATCAGTTTTTTAAATGACTAAAAGACCATTTCTTTTTCAATCTTACTACAACCAATAGTTTCAAAATACAAAGTAGAAATTGGAACTTTTTAGTGCCTTGCTTGTTACCAGTGACCAATAAGGGAGTGGTGTAGCGTCTAACTCTTGTTGGAGATTTCGCAAGTTGATTCGAAATATTTAATATTCTTGATAATTAATATCAGTCTTTTGACAACAATGTTTTTGATGACGAAAAAATGAAAGCCTTTTAAGCATATCTCCAGATTCATGTACGCACTTATTTTAAAGTATAAGTTTAAAAAAGTCATTAGTGCAACATTAATACCATGTTACCTAATATCACCAACCAATTATAAGAAGCTCGATCAAGGGTGAAGCCGGAGTGAAATTCATCGAAAGTATAAAAGAAAGAAAGTACTCTGATAGCATCTTGGGAATAGGATCTCGATTGATTTAGTCTAATACGAGCAATTAACTTCAATCTATTATCAATCAATTATATCTTATCATATAAAAAAAATACATTTTACGTGATGTTCATTATTACTATCCTTGATATTATGCTATAATCACCTTTGTATTAAGAGGCTTTTTTTTTTTTTTTTTTTTGAAAGAACTAAAAAAAAAAGAAAAAAGATAAAGAGTGCGAAGTGCAAATCATGTGCATATATATATATATATATTAAAACACCTGTGTATGTCATTTACTAAAAATTAGAAATCAAATAGAAAAAAGATAAGAGTGCAAATATGGTATCCTCTAATAATATAATTTTTATTATTTTTTAATATACTAGTTTCTTGAAACTATTTTGTTTATTATTATATGATGGGTTAATGCATTGTCACCCCTCATTTTATCGCATTGGAGGCTTCATTTCTCCTTGTTTCTCTCTCTATATCACATATATTAACACCCCCCCCCCCCCCCCTTCTCTCTCTCTCTCTCTCTCTCTCTCTCTCTCTCTCTCCATACATACACACGTATATATATATTTATAGAGTAATAGCTCTCTCTCTCCTTGTTTCTCTCTCTCTCTATATAATATATATATATATATTATATTTTTGTTTATTTAATAACATTCCTTTACTTTCTCCGTCTATTACTATTTCATCTTAAATAATAGCTCATAGAGTCATGACTCAGGTTCCTGGTGTTTTCTCGTGACCTATGTGTAGTCTACGTGATGTTCTAGGAGGGTTTTGGTACAATCATCGGCCCATCTTCGAACATTATTTGATGGAGGTCTAGAAAGAGAGAGAGAGATAATTCTCACTGGTGCTTGGATGAGAAGTTAGTGAATTTCACATCCAATGCTGTTTTCAGCCTTTGAATTGAAAAGTTATTAACATTTTTCACAGGTTTTCGCCAGTAATGGAGTGTTTTTAGCTTTAAAAGTAGCTTTGAAGGCAGAGAAAGCTTCATAGAAAAGGTGGGTTTTCATTTTAATACCTATTTAAGTACCCCTTTTTTTTCCATGTTATTTTGAGTGTTTTGAGTGGCTTTTTCTTTGCTTTATTGGTTTATTTTTGGCCATCTCTATGCAAGAATAGGCAATTTGATTGGTGGTCTGAGGTCAATTTTGAGTAGGAATTTGTGGGTGTTCCCATTTTTCATGGTTTTTTATGCTTTTAAAAGTCTGTTTAATGACTTATATTGTTGTTTTGAGGTCCATTGGAATGTGAAAAATGCAGAACTAAATGACAAAGAAGCTCAACAAGTGTCGATTGACTTGGTTTTGGTTCCATTAGTGCTAATTTAAAGCAGCAATTTTGATTTTGCAAGAGTACAATTTTTAGAAGGTACTGGAATTAATGAATTTCGGGTTGAATTAAACTTATGAGTGCCAAAGTCTGATGAAATTGGCTAATTGGCAAACTGTCCTTTAGTCTAATCCACCCCAAATGAGACCCATTGCTGATGTTTCATTCAAAGCAGAGACTAAGCTGATTTTGAAGTGGAAATTACATCTACAGACAAAAAAAACTCACACACAGACACACAGAGCAATATTGGTGTTACTGATCCTGCGATTCTTTGTTAGGATTAAAACAATAGCTGTTTTGCCCAAAATTTATCTATCCTTTTGTCTCCATTTGGTCTAACAACCTAAGTAGGATAAATATGGACATGGGATATGGACAAATATGCCAACGTGTGAAATTCTTAAAAAGTAAGATAAGGACATGGTGTAGAAAAGGAAAAAAAAATATTAATTTTTTCTGTATGCATAAATTATAGAAGACAACAATAATACTTTGGTTGATTTTCTTATTTATATAAAAGAATGGTATAATGTGGAAGATGATGAAAGTATGTAAGCATCATAAAGATTTTTATTTTACATATTATATTTTTAGCATAACAATTATATTTGTGTTCATCTTGTTAATTAGATTGTTAGATTTAACTCCTTTAAAGATGTGTTTGTGCTTTGTAAGACTTGTGAGTGCTCGTGCTTGGAATGAGTCAACCAAGTATTTTCCAAACACATGTCGAGGAGTGTTTATTAAGTGTCGATGTATGAACATGTCTGACAAGGATATGGCATCTTCATAGAAGTGCCCGTACTTATTAAGCTTACAAAAAATAAGAGAGAGGAAAAACATATGCTGACAAAAAGAGCTTATTTTCTTAAGAATTTTGTAGCTTTTTTTTTTTTTTTTGGGAAGCAAAAACAGTGCTTGTAACTAAAGGAAGGAAGAAAGGATATATCTTTCAGAACTTAGGATTGGTTTCATATTTCCAGTGGCAAACATTTGTAGATTCAACTGTTTTAACATTTGCCAACTTGTCATCCTTTGCCTTGATAATTGGTGTATTCTGGCTAACCACTAACCCTATTTCCATTAATCCTTCGTGATCATAGACTACTTGTGAATATGAGTCATTCTTACACTAGTGAAATTATTGTTTTAGATGATAATTACCATATACATCAAAGGAAGTTGGCAAGAGAGGATTTCATGAGGTTATAGAGCTAATATTTCAATCTGTTATTGGTTGATAAAGTTTGGGATCTATTTTGCGTATGGTTGAAGAGATGGTATTTGTGAGCTTCCTCTGTTGGGAGCTAGATAGCAGTATATCTTAATGGAATGCTGCTGTCAGCTGAAAAGAAAAAAAAATTATACAAAAGATTAATCTTGCTCCATTGACTTGGGCTCTTTCTCTTTTCATTGTTACATGTATTTCGGTTTTATGATATCCAAATTATTGACTTTGTTGATTGGAGTTGGCCTAGATTTACTTCACATTGGGGAAAGAGGAACTATTTCACCCAATACATAAACCAACTGTTAATGCAATTCTTACCAAGCTATTCTGTTCATAGGTTGGGTAGGGTTGAGAAAACGTGAACCATTTTAAATGAGCCAGGTTGGGGTTAAAGTGGCTGCAATCATTCTGAACCTAATAAATCATGATAGTTCTTCATTGAAAGGGAATAAACCAACCCATGTACCCAACTAATGTAACTAATCCAAATTATTTTTATTTTGATTCTTAAGTTGTTGATTTTTTCTATTATCAAGTTCATTTTAGTAGATTTATTACATAATTTTAACTCTACAGTAACACATTTTCATAGAAATGGTGTTACATAATTTCAACTCAACAATAGCACTAAACATTTCAATACTAAGTACCTCAAGTGGAAGGAAAACTAAATGGGTCTGACATGTTGGCTTGGCTTGACCCAAAACATAGAGAAGGGGTTAGATTTCATTTAAATCCCTATCAAGAAATGGTTTGTGTTGGTCCTTTGTTTGCTACTCCTCGGGAGCTCCTCTAGCTTTACCCAACCATCTATGAATCATGGATACCCCCTTCTTTTCTCTCTCTCTCTCTCTCTATATATATATATATGACAATACCTTATCATCTTCCTAATATATGATGAACATATCAGTATGGGTTTGAGATAGAGCCCTGTTATAAGCTAGAATGAAATCAACTTCTCGTGCTATACTGCTATTTTTGCCTGTGGATATGAAATCTTCAATGTATTTCCAAGTTTCTTGTGATTAGAACTTCTCAAATTTTAACTCCCTGATTGTCCGTTCTGACTTATGCAACAGGCTTGTTTAGCTGTTCAAGAAAAAAGTTTCTGATCAATGGGGAAATACTTGTGACCATAATGGATCCTCAGGCATTTATCAGGCTGTCAATAAGTTCACTGGGTCTGAGATTTCCTGGAAGAGTTACAAATGCTGCATATTCATTCTCTTCTCCGTGTTCATGTGAGATCCGTCTTCGAGGTTTCCCAGTGCAGACAACATCGGTCCCTTTAGTATCTTCTCCTGAATCAACACTGGACTCTCAGAGCATAGCCTCAAGTTTTTATCTTGAGGAATCTGATCTAAGAGCATTGTTAACACCAGGATGCTTCTATGCTGCTCATGCATGTCTGGAGATAGCTGTTTTCTTAGGGCGGAAGGGGTCCCATTGTGGCATTGGCGTCAAAAGGCAGCAGATTGGGACATTTAAATTAGAGGTGGGTCCCGAATGGGGTGAAGGAAAGCCAGCGATTCTTTTCCATGGGTGGATAGGCATTGGCAAGAGCAAGCAGGAGGGAAAACCAGTAGCGGAGCTTCATTTGAGAGTGAAACTAGACCCTGATCCAAGATATGTTTTCAAGTTTGAAGATGATACCAAATTAAGTCCACAGGTAGTTCAGCTTCAAGGCGCTATTAAGCAGCCTATCTTCAGTTGCAAGTTTAGTGGAGACAGGTGATATGAATCTGCATTAAAAAAATTCGATGCTGCTACTTACTGTTACTATTTACACTTATCATTAAAATTTGAAAGCAATATCATGATTGACAATTTGGCATAAACAAATATTTAAACTTCTTATCACGGTCATCTTAATAGCTCTAGATGTTGTTGCATAAGAGGTTTTCCTGTTCAGTATAGCTTTTGATACATGAATTCTAGGAGCTGGTTGTCTAATTGAACAGTACCCGTTGATTAGACTATGGGCTCTAAATTACTGGGTCAAAGCTGGCCAAAACTTTGTCAAACTGTAAAGATATAAAAATATCTAGAGTTCATGCTCTATGTATGTATATGACTTTTAGAAAGATTTAAAAATTAGTCAGCAAATGAGCAGAAATATTGGTAACATTCAATATTGACTCACCCTAAACCTGATATATGATTTTAAATTCTCATCTCTTTTCGGAGATATAATAGGCATACAGAAGGGGTTTTATATCATTTTCTTGTCAGTATGTCTTCAGTCTTCCATTTGTCATGGGACTTCAAATATGACGTCTCTAATCTTCCTGTCATTAGTTTTGTATGTAAATTAAGTTCTAACAAATTTTTAGGGTGTCTCAAGTAGTTTCTCTGGGTGCTAACTGGTCAAGCTCTATGGGCAGTGCTGACCAAGTGACGGAGAGAAGAGAGAGGAAGGGATGGAAGGTGAAGATACATGATCTCTCTGGCTCAGCTGTTGCAGCAGCCTTCATAACAACTCCTTTTGTGCCGTCAACAGGCTGTGATTGGGTGGCCAAGTCCAACCCAGGAGCTTGGTTGATTGTTCGCCCTGATGCCTGCAGGCCAGAAACCTGGCAGCCTTGGGGAAAGCTCGAGGCGTGGCGTGAGCGTGGCATCAGAGACTCCATTTGCTGCCGTTTTCACCTTCTCTCTGAAAGCCAGGAGTGTGGGGACCTTCTCATGTCCGAAGTATTCATCAACTCTGAAAAGGGTGGTGAGTTTTTCATAGACACTGACAGACAGACTCGAGCACCAGCAACTCCAATACCCAGTCCACAAAGCAGCGGAGATTTTGCAGGACTAAGTCCGGCTGTAGGAGGGTTTGTTATGAGATGTAGAGTGCAAGGGGAAGGGAAGAGCAGCAAGCCATTGGTACAACTGGCCATGCGGCATGTGACCTGCGTGGAGGATGCTGCCATCTTTATGGCACTTGCCGCTGCTGTTGATCTCAGCATTGAGGCGTGCAGACTTTTCCGTAAGAGGATTATTAGGAAGAGCACCCGCCATTCTTTGTGAAACATTTGTAATATATGCATATACATCTATATATATACATATATATTTGGTGCTCTTTAATTTCCCTGAACTAAGGAAGCCCTTCTATTGCTTCTGATTGTTGTAACATTGGATTTGGACATAATAGACAGGAGCTTCTTCTTTACATTTCTCCACCCCAATCATGGTGGTGGTTCTATGTGATACCAATTATACCCATGTGTCACCAAAGCCAGGTTCTTCACTAGGTGAGTTTTGCACACCCAATAGAGAGTAGCCCAATTTAGGGGCGGTTTAGATTGATATTTTTGCTGTATATCTGTTTGCTTTATGCTTATGCTTGGTGTTGCTCGGACAGGCATGTGCATAAATGTCACACACCTGCAAATTATCACCTCCTTGAATCGGCAACATATCACCATCTCTAATCATCATATTTCATTTCAGTGCAAGGCTATTAGCTCTCCTAATCAACCACTGCATTAATAAGTTTATTATAAGATTTATTTGACTTTTCGCATATTTCAATAACTGTCTCAATTCAGTGAGTGATAAAGAGAACTCATGACTGTTTTCATCAAAATTAAGGAAGGAAAGCGAAGGCTTGGCATAAACAGAGAAACTCTAACGTGTTTGTGTGTGTGTGTGAGAGAGAGAGAGAGAGAGATGAGTTGGGAAAAAAAGGTTGATTTGTTTGTTGACTTGGAGTTAAAAAAACTGAACCAGTCTTAGCAATTTTCTAAGCAAGCAATGTGGTATTCCTAAAACTTTGATCCAAGAAAATACCTCAAATTTTTGAGCAACCGACGTTGCCCTTCTAAGCCTTTGATCCAGGAAAAATTACCACTAGTTGGGATGAATTTAATTATTATTATCCCTCATCCTTGCAAGAAATTTAACTTAAAATAACTAAAAAAGTTTTTAAGGATCATTTTGTGTAAAATTTATTCATAAAACAACTTTTAAGACTTTGTAAATGGTTTATTACGCCTCTCTATGTGGGGTGGTGTTTATGGCAGATATTTTGATAGGAAGAAGATGTCAATTTCTTTATTTTTTCCACTCTTTTTTGTTGAGTTTCAAGAAGAGATCATAGATCTTTAGAGGAAATTATCGATTGTCTGGCCTCTCTGAAAGCTTAGAGGCCCTTTGCGGGCTTATGTATTTCTTTTTGGTTCTGCTCCCCTTCGGAGCGCTTTTGTACAATTTTACTTATGAAAATTTTTTTAAAAAATAAAAAATGCGTACAAGTCCCTTGATAATATTGGTTACAATATTTTGCTTCAATAAATTCTCTCTCAACATCTCCCTTACAATTTTTAATTAATTAATTAATTATTATTATTATTTATTGATTTTTTTTACCAAATAGAGGTTCCCACATGCAACCCACGTGCACCTATACTAGTTATATATCAATTCATGGGGAAATTTGGAACCAAAAAAAAAAATAACCCCTCCTTTTTAACAAAGAAAAATTGCGGATATCCTCCCTCTACAATACGGTTATTGTAGCCTTGTAGAGGTGCAACACACACCCTATAATATGAAAATTATGCATCTAGCTTCCTCTATATCAGCTATTACTAAGTATTAAAAAAAGTCCTTCAATATAGATATTGTGCATTTAACCCCACTAGAGTGAATATTGATCATATTACCCCTGGTATACTGAAAGTATCCATTTATACATTGAGTAAACCAGCACATATTGGTTTGCATACAGATAATGTGCAAGTATTTATATTACAAATAAATTATAATGCACAATTCTGTTATATGTATCCCAAATATTCCAGATATTGCAAACCAGCATCCTACATTGCACATATTCCATGTATACCCTAATTTCAACTACATTCACTGGCCATTCATTACTTGTCAATGTTTTCTTTCCCACTTGCCTTCACGCCTACCATCCCGCTCTCTCCGCTCCATGATCTGCCTAGATTTGCTTCCTCTAGACCCATGCCTTTGAGCAGACCCAAACCCACCAGACTGTCCCTCAAATGTGGATATTAGTTCTGGATCTCCAACGCTACCTGTATCACCTGAGTCCCTGCTACCGTCAAAATTTTCGTCATAACTGCTAGCACATTCGTCTGGACGGTCACGTGATTGTAGAATGGTTGGAAGCTGGCCTGAAAATTGACGAGAACCAGACAGAACTGTTGGCATGGCTGTCATGGGTGAATTAGCAGGAGCAGTCTCAGACTGCAAGCCGCCAGTATTTGTTCTTACGCTGCCTTCACTACCTGACCTCCCATTTTCCCTCTCACGATACCTTTCCCGAGGCCGACTGCATATAAACGTCAAATATAAACTGATGGAATCAATGCACAGTTAGAAATTTATTTATAATTGCTAAAGCATGGACACGTGTATGGGATAGGACATGACATGACATTGTAAACTCATTAAAAAAAAGGATAAGAATACACAATTTTTTTTTTCTTCCCCGTGGGCAAACTCTTTTATTTATTTATCTTATTTTTTATAGATATAACAATAATTTGCAAGGAAGTGCATGAAGATTCATCTAGATCTCCTTCTACCTTAGCTCAGATCATCTAGCTGGAGGTGTTGGATATCTCTCTTGATTGTAGGCTCTATTAGAGTTTATTTTCTGGTTTGCACTTCCTTCATGGCTTGTGTTCCGGTATGGATCTACTCTAGGCTCAGTGGGGGAATCAGCCCCCACTCAATTTTTATCTTTTTGTATTACATACCCATAAAATTTTGAAATTTTCCTCACTGAAATTACAAAAAACCTCACTATAAAAGTTTGCTCCCCCTACATAATTTTCTAGGTCCACCACTGCTTGTTTTGGTAACTTGGTAGTGCTTTGTTTACTTTTCTTTGTGATCCAAAGGTATGCCTTGGCTTATTCCTTCGCACATTATTGTCATATCTTTTAAAAAAATTCCATTTGCCCAGGGAAAAAAAAAAAGGCAATATATATTATCAATGTAGATATGTAGAAAAATTAGTGTGTATTTATATATATAATACCCATAAATGATCTTTTGCACACCGGTGAACAAGAAACTTTCTCCACACCAAGCATTGTGACCGTTGGATATGATTCAAGTGTAAACAAGGTAATTACCGAAAAAACATAGCAATCATAATCAACGGTCACTATGGTTCGTGTGGATAAATTTTTTGCTCACCGGTGTGCAAGAGATCATTTCTATTTATATATACCTACGTATAAATCTAAAATAATATTTGTTTGTCATATATAAGTATATGTATATATATATATTGTTACTACAAATTTTTAATAAAAAAATTATGACAAACAATCTGAGGATTGAGATTGTATCACAAGGATAAATTCTAGAGAAAATTACAAAAGAAGAAGGGAGTTTTGATACCAAAAATTCCAATTTTATAATTTTCCCTATATTCTAAACTGAATTAGTTATGATATATTCTCATTATATCTCAATATTGTTTTCTTAAAGAAATTCTAACCTTTTCCTAACAGTTACACTATAATATTAAACTTGAAAACTTTTCATTTTAGTATTCAAAATTTATTAAACATGTGTCCTAATTTAGCTGAGAAGTATTTGATATGTGGCCGGAGTATCTCAGAAAATGTCAGATACTTATCGAAATAAAAAATTATTTTCAAATTATAGATATGCCTTGGGAGTATTCAACATGCATCCTTGAGTAAACGATAGGTGTCGAAGAATTACTTGATTAATGGTCGATAAGTTGAATCAAAAAAACTTTGTGCTCTCACTTGTGTGAATGGTGTCTGATAAATCCTACCTGTCTGAATGAAAAAATCCCCAACTACTAAAGAAGAAACTAGGAATTCTTGAAAAACTCTCTTTTCTACTGTGTTACGTCGTGTTCCATGTAAACCCTAAACTACTTTTCATAGGTTTTTGAAACTTATTTCAAGTGCTAGAATAATTAGAAATTGTTTTGCTCTAGTTAAAATCCAATTCAGACATAAATTGTGTTAGAACAGCTTCAGGGCAAGTTGCATCAGTCCATGATGCAAAAAAATGCCCAGGTCCATGTAAAAAAAATAGACTGTTGCAAGTGTTTCCTGGAAATCTTGAGGCTGTACACTAGACTTGACTTTCTAGGCTTCATTGAGGGGCCAAACAAACTCGAAATTAGCCGTATAATATATCATCGGTGTTAAACTACCCATCTACTCTAAAAGTTTAAGCTATTAGAGAGGTGTAACTTTAATATTTAAATCATTCAACATGCCCCCTCACGTGTGGCCTTCTTTTGGTCCAACACGTGTTTTTTTCAATTTTTAATTAGGGTGACGGTAAGGTTTGAACTCGAGACCTTTGGCTCTGATACCATGTTAACTACCCATCTACTCTAAAAACTTAAGCTATTAGAGAGGTGTAACTTTAATATTTAAATCCTCCAACAATCGGAAAGATTATCAAATTTATTTTCTTAATATATAAAGATTAGAACAAAAGTCCAAGTGTAGTTACGACTCCATAAAGGCAGAAAGGTGAGATTTGACCAAATATAAGATCCTTCGTGGATATCGACTTTAAGCACCCAGTTAAAGCCTGTTCTAAGGTCTCCAAAATACGTTTTTACTTTAACAAACATTCTAAATCCTTTTTAGAAGTTTTCAAGTTCATAAAAGGTTAGCATGTGAATTTCATCCAGTTAAACCAAGTTGGTGAAAGGAGGTCTAAACTCTTGCCAATCTATCTCTTATGTTCTTTAAGGTTTTACTTACCTTTCCAAGTGTGATTGAACCTTGTGGAGTATAATTTTGAAAATTTCCAACGAAATTTCTCCCTCTATTCTTCCATACTCATTTTGAGCTTAATTTCCATTAGCAAGGTGACAGGCAAGAACTCGTGGAAACATGACTCATGATTACATTTTGTTTAAACCTACTATAATACTTAACTTCATAGCAAAAAATTGTTAACATAGAAATGATATCCTAACAATTAGTAAAACAGTTGACTAGTTTTCCTTGTTAGTAAAATACGGTATGAAAAAAAAATGGATACGAATATGTTCGAGTATAATACAGTTTTTTGTGAGGAAGAAAAAAAAAAAAAAAAAAAAAAACATTAAAAAATTCAACACAAAAAAATAGAAACGGAAAAATACATATACAAATATATTATCATATAGTATTTTTGGTTGAAAATTCAGGACTAAAAATTCCGCTCTTATATGTATTCTTGTTGTTTTCATGTCATAGTTTTATACCAATAATATATATATATATATTAGCAGAATGATGAAATACTAATCATGAATTATGCTATTGTAGATTTTAGAATTTAGTTTTACAATAGACACTTACTCCATATAATGCCTGTGATTGGAGAGATGTACTGATGATGGTGAGTTGGGAGTGTTGATTGCTGGAGACTGGAGAGAGAGAGAGAGAGAGAGAGAGAGAGAGAGAGAGGCATCCAACTTTTTAGAATTATCTATGCTATTTAGACATAATTTTATTGAAAATTCCAAATTTGGGTCTCTTTAAGCTTAAGATGACAGCAGCCGGTAGAGGTAATTGGTGTGGCTAGCAGGGGATTTTTAGTATTCAATATTCATGGATTTGGAGTTAGAGAGGGATAACTGGTCCATTACGTACAATTTCAATTACAAACTAGGAATGTTATTCTAAATAAAACAAGGCCTTTTGTAGTTTGGTGAGACTGATCATCCTGCTTATTGCCAACACATTTTAAATAAGCGTAAATTAAAGTGGCAAATTTATTAGAAAATTCAGATTCCAATCTTTCAGTACTTGAGTTGATATCCTCCCTAGTTCTACCAGACTACCAGAGGCTTCTTTATATTGATGAGACGGGTAATCTTATGATCATTCATTTGTCACATTCCATTTTATGCATTATCAATATAAGACATTTTCTAGAGGGTAGGGCTTTTTATACTCATCTACATTATCATACTATCACTTTCACTTTAATGAAATTGCTTTTGCAGTTTATCCTATAAAAAGAGCTTCCCCTCCCCCTCCCCACCTTCCTCCATCCCCTCCTCTCATTTCCTTTAATTATAAGTACTCCTATTATCTTCAAATAATCTATTGGTTACAAACAATCACTTAACCAAGATATAGGAATATATCACCAGAAAAATATTATTATAATGTACATTGAGGATGGTAATGAATTCTCACAGGAGTTTACAAATCAGGTGCACCAGTAGATCACTAATCCAAAAGATTGCATTAATAAATTTAAGGTTACACCCTGTACATCTTGTTCCAGGACAAGGTGTCCATAGATCCAAGATCATAGAGCGGACTTATGTCCTCAACCAGTTTATTAGACATTCCAGCATTGTTTCCTATTCATATAATTCCTTCTGAAGTTTCGTATGTTGTGTATTGTCAAAGTTCACTCAGATATTAACTTCAAGTTCATTGTTAGAATATTTATTGTTCAATAAATTCTCAAATAATGTAATAACATACCTACTATGAGCAGAAGAAGGAAACTCGCGTCGCGATGGCCGGAGTCCAGATTCCACTTGCTCCAGTTCCCGCTGGAGTTCTCTCTACAAGCAAATAAACACTTTCAGATATTACTTCGATCTAGTAGCCCCAACACCAAGACAATTTTTTTGGCACTGTTGTCTGCTAAATAGTTAGATGCTACATCCACAGAGTATTATTAGAAAGCATCTGAAGAAAAATGGTCCACTAACTGTGAGGTGAAGAAAATTCAGGGCTGCAAAAATCAAAATTCTGAATAGGACTGATAGGAGGATTGTTAGGGTAGAAGTGTAATATTCTTGAGAAATACAAAGGATTGCAGTAAGTGTGTCCCCAAATGGCCTGCTGGGCCCGCCCCAGTTCGGGCTTCGGGCCTGGCGGGACTGTAAATTTTATATATAAAATTACTCATGGATATAGGATATTCTTCCTTTCTATAAAGTAAGGATACGTTTACCCCCTACAATGTGTTATTGAATATTCATAGTCGTAATCATTTCCAATGGAGTAGGACTTGAAGGTGGAGTACAAACCAGTAAGCCAAGAATTTGGTTGTTGAAGAATGTGCATACAAATTATAAATATTAAATTATATACTGATGCAGTGCAAATGGAATAGAACTTTCTTCAAACAGTTGAAGATACTAAGAAGACTAGACTGAGATCGCATTAATAGGGGCAGCATTGTTTATTGGGTTTATGTCATTTAGTCAAGTTGTAAATCTGTCTTAATTTTCTATTTAATGTTTTCCTTAAGCTTTAGTTGGGATAATTTTGTCATTTCGCTTCTATTTAATGAGTCATGTGCCTATTAAGTGAGTCATGTGACCACTTAAGGGCTATTTTGTCAACTTTAACATCTTTTATTCTGCTGGACAGAATAGTAGCCGTTAGATTATATTTATATTAAATCTTTGCTAGGGCATCCCTTGGGGCTTATAGAAGGGTTGTTCCAAGTAGCATTCAGCAGCCTTTTACGTATTATCAATATATTTAGCCTGCTAGAGCAGCTTTTTACCTCTCCCTTTCTTTGGGATTGAGTTGTGGGTGTTTAAGCTATTTTTCTAGCTTGAATTAGCTCTCTGTTTTCCCTTCTTCAGATTTATTTTCTTTCTTTCATAGCTGGTTGCATTAGTTGGTATCAGAGAAAATTCTGGTCCGGTGGTTTTGTGCAGGGTTATCGGACATCTCTCTTAGGTTTTGCAACATGCCACCAAGAAGAAGAAACCTGCCTCGCAAACCAGCTGTTCGTCCTCATTAGAGCGCAGCAGTTGATCAACAACAAGTGCTTGCAGTGATAGAAGATCTAAGAAGGCAGATTGAAGATTTAGCCCTGCGCGTTGCGCAAACCCCCCAGCCCCTTCTCCAGATGGCATCAAATCTGAGGAGGACAATCTGGAAGAGGATTTTATTAATCCTTTTTCCAGAAACGCAGCACCTAGACCAGCACCTCTTCCATTTGAAGAAAGGCGTTGGGATGGTGGCTTTAAGGTGAAAAATCCAGAATTTGTACGGTATCTCGGAGGAGAAGAAGAACCACCACAAGAAGAGGAACCTATTTATGATAAGGATGACGAGTCGAATGAGAACACTTTCCTCAATCATGAGGAGCCACGGTTGGAAAATTTCTATCATGATTCTGAGAATGATTCAACAAATGATGCGTCATGGTTGTTCATAACATCGACTACCATGGAACAATTTGTTGACTGGAGTAAGCCTCAAATTTTTTATGAAGAACCACACATTGAATCTATGGATTGGGATCAATTAGCAATTTTTGGTAAGGAAGTTACAAAAGAAAATTCTCAAAATAAAGGAAGCTAAGAGAATGTGGTGGTAATAAGAGCAATGGAGAACAATGAAGTATTTAACCTTTCACCAACGGAAGTTTTGCAAGAATACAAGTTTGATTATTGGTTGGTGTTTGAAGATTCGAGTACTAAAAACGGTTTTTACTTTTATGATATGATTTGGGATGAATTCTTGAAACGCACTACAATCGCTAGTTGGTTGGTGGAAGAAAAATTAAAATTAATTAAACTTCTACTGCAGGATATGGGTTCAACCGAGTTTTGTGAATCTACCCAATTTCAAAGAAAATCCAGCAAAATTCATGCTGATTATGCAAATGTGTTCTTTGTTAGTATAAGAAGATTATTGTATCTGATTTGAGTTCGGAAAAGAAGAAAGAAGGGATGCAACGCCTTGCTCATATTTTTTATTGATCGTGGAAATTTGTTTCTAACTCGAGGACGAGTTTTCTCTCACCTGGAGGGACTGATGCAGTGCAAATGGAATATAACTTTATTCAAACAGTTGAAGATCCTAAGAAGAATAGAACTTTCTTCAAACAGTTGAAGATCCTAAGAAGACTAGACTGAGATCGCATTAATTGGGGCAGCATTGTTTATTGGGTTTTAGTCATTTATTTAAGTCGTAAATCTGTCTTAATTTTCTGTTTAATGTTTTCCTTACGCTTTAGTTAGGATAATTTTGTCATTTTGCTTCTATTTAATGAGTCATGTGCCTATTAAGTGAGTCATGTGACCACCTAAGGGCTATTTTGTCAGCTTCAACAACTTTTATTCGGCTGGACAGAATAGTAGCCGTTAGATTATATTTATAAGAATGGTTAGGATTAAATCTTTGCTAGGGCATCCCTTGGGGCAAATAAAAGGGTTGTTCCAAGTTGTATTCGGCAGCCTTTTACGAATTATCAATATATTTGGCCTGCTACAACAGCTTTTTACCTCTCCTTTTCTTTGGGATTGAGTTGTGGGTGTTTAAGCTATTTTTCTAGCTTGAATTAGCTCTTTGTTTTCTCTTCTTCAGATTTATTTTCTTTCTTTCATAGATGGTTACATTATATACATTAGTATATAATCTACAAGTTTTATAACATATATGTTATATGTAAAGTATATAACATATAAGTTATATCATATTCAAATAATGTAAGTAAATTATTTAAATGATATAAACATTTATCCATCAAAAAACTATTAAATAAATAACCTATATGCAAACTTTATGAAAACCAATGCCTTGTCTTGAATGGTATTACTCCACCTCCACAAAGGGAGGTTGCGAGGTCAAAACCAAAGAGAAGCATTATTATTATCTAAAGGTTTATATATATTATATATATAAGCAAAAAATAAAAATAAATAAAATAAAGAAATAAAAAAAGGTGCGCTGGGATGCAGGCCAAATGGAGACCACTTAATTGGCAGTAAATACTAATAAATATCTTTTAATACATAGTCATAAATATTTGTATGCAGTCAAATGACTAAAATCTAAAAATTTATATATCAATGTGGAAAATTAAGTAAGAAATCCTTTGAATTTAAAGCAAAAGAAATGACGAACTATTAAATCCCAGGTTCAGTTTTAAAAGTTCATTTAAAGAAAATGAATAAGAGAATAGGAAAAAGGTTAGGTATACAACACCAAAAATAGATATACTCCTACATCTTAGAATAATACATGTACATGTTAACCAAACTCAATATATACATATAATGTACATCTACATAACTATGTATTGACAAAAAAGAAATACTAGTTGTAAATATGACCTGGAAATTCATTTTCTTAATACTTATTTATAACAAAAATTACAGTGTTTCTTCCCAAAATGAATGAAAATGCATCAGCAAAAAAATAATAATAATAAATAAAATAAACTTCAAAAAAAAAAAGAAGAAGAAGAAGAAGAAGAAGAAGAAGAAGAAGAAAAAGAAACAAACAAGTGATCATGATGTCAAGAAAGAGGAAAGAACAAAAATTCTAGTTTTGCTATGCCAAAACAATTGGTCTTGTCTTTTGGACAATCCATTTGACTTGAGTAGCATAGAGTAGCTAAAATATGGATACTGGATGAATGTAAAACAACTTTTATTTATTTGTGTTGTTAGTATTTGTGATGTTGTGGTCCAAACTTTGTTTCGAACCTTGACCTGAAAAATAAATTTTTAACACGTTTTTCTCTTGTGGGTCGTGGACGCTATTTAGCACTCTCTTTTGTAGCCCGGAGGCCGGTATAAGGGTGTTTTAGGGTTTGGAGTGAGATAATGAGAGACACTGAAAATTACAAGAAAGAGAGTGAGACTGTGAGAGCGATAGTTAAGGGTTGGGGGCTGAAACTTGTAATCTCCTGATTTTTGCATAGTGAAAACTTTCGCCGGATCTTCGCCGCAGACGTAGCCCAGATTTTGGGTGAACCATGTAAATCTTTGTGTTCTTTATCTGTGGCATGTTTGTTTTTTGTCGTGATTAGTGATTTGTTCTGGGTTTGCTGCGTTTGTTGTAATAGTATTGTTGGAACAACATCCAAATTATCTATTCAACCGATCTTGATAGAAGTAAAAAAGGATTAACTTAATACATATCAAATAAATAATTAAATAATTTTTTTTTTAAATTTGTCCACTTGATTGCCTTGAATAAAAGTTCAATTCAAATGTATCTATAATTGTGAAAATTTTTAGAAAACTATAATGCAAACAAGGGGAATTAGAAACTAAAAATTATTGTCATCACCAAAATGATAAAAGAAATAAGTAAAATGTGTAACACTTGGGAAAGAAATGTCAAGTGGAAACAAATGGAATATTGATAATTATATAAAGAAAATGGGCAATGAAATTCATGTGGTCTATGGTCGCCTCAAATTGAAGCTGTCTTACAGATAATGTTTTAGTCTAAAAACTAATATAAACCACAGTGCAACTAAAGCTCATTCACAAGAGCATTTATTTTTTAAATCAACAGAAAGTAATACGCTTACATGTAAATATACTAACAGTATTGTTGTGTAATGAAGGATGTGAAAGAATGGAGAACATAGACACTCACAACTCAAAGAACATACTTTTGTTTGAGCACAGACCATTTAAAACCGGGAAAAGGAAATTTGTTTTCATCACCAGGCGATGATTCTGTCATCAAGCAGGTTATAGTTGGTTTGAATTTGGGCAAATACAAAAGTACCACACACCGACACCTTTCTTTCCCAAAAAGTAAAAGAGAAAAGGCAGCAGTGCATCCATAGTACTTACTACTTTTATGTTGGTAAAGTTGATCTACTACTTTTATGTTGGTAAAGTTGATCTATGAGTCAATAGAGAATGTACAATGTATAATGATGAGTTCTACACAATACATACTAAAAAAAATGAAACAGTAAGGTTTTCATCTCAAAACAGTAACTTGGTCCAATCAGGTCAATCCAAAGCAGTAGACACACATGATCCGAATTAGACATGATGGGTTTTAGTAAGATATTACCATAGAAAGGCCTATACTCATTTGCGCACCAAATACAAAACAACATAAACATAAACAAACATTAATGTACACACGCACACATATAGCATGCAACATAGATATATATCAACCATAGAAAGAGAGATTGGATCAAAGAAATCCTTATAACATGTTCAAGAAAAATTATAAGGACGGAGGATAGTGATGGCCCCGCTTTGTGTTCTCCAAGAAACCTGATGAAAGGAGTTCTTTAAAAAACACAGAATGAAATTGACCAAAGGAAAACCCAGGCCCTAGATCTACCAGATCTTCGGAAGTTCTTTAGCAATATCCTTGATTTATGAAACAGGTAAACTAAAGATAGGCTTGTTTGCGTTCTGAAAAGAAACAGTTCAGGTTTAATTAGTAAAATTTTGGTCTTACCTGTGTTTGCTTTTCTTTCTCCATATCAAGATTGTGTCGTAGCTCTCTGGTTTTTGCACGTTCAAGTTCCAGCAAACGTTGTCTCTCAATCTCCCTTTCTACTTCAGTAGTTCTATCTCTAATACACAGAAGGCCAGCCAATATTTTGATGATCATTCAATATTTTACAATCATGAAAATAGTCACAATTTTAAGATACAAGATAAGCCATAAATCAAAGGCTAAAACCTGTCAAGTTCTTGAAGAAGTTGTGCTTCTCGTAACGCTTTCTCTTCTAAATATTTCTGACGGGCATGTCTTATAAGTTGCTTCTTTTGCCTGCGGGCCACTAACTCTTCTCTGAGTTTGGACTTCTCACTGATAAGAAGGGAATATCATTTAAGAAGAAAAAAAAAAAAGAAAAAAAAGAGGCTTCAGAACATTTGAACAATTAAACCTGCAATCCCATCAATCCAAAAAGAACAGAAAACAGAAAATAGTAACATTTGCTGAATATTGTACATGTGTTAAACAACCATCTACTCTAAAACCCTAAGCTGTTAGAGAGGGTGTAACTTTAATATTTAAATCCTTCAACGCGCTCCCTCACATGTGTGGCTTTCTTTTGATCCAACATATGTTTCAATTTTAATTATTAGGGTGACGGTGAGGTTTGAACACATGACCTTGTCTGCTCTAAAACCATGCTAACAACCATCTACTCCAAAAGCTTAAGCTGTTAGAGTGGGTGTAACTTTTTAATATTTAAATCCTTCAACAATAAGCTATAAAATCTTTAACAGATAAAAGCAGGAAATATAAACCACAAAATCACTATCAAATGACATGTCAGTAACATGTTTTTGTGTCTTCCAGGTTTTGAATAAGTCAGAAGCAAAGGTAGACTTAAACAGAGTCATCAGGTGTTCATTTCCAACCAACCTAAATTCTTGTGGGATTCCAATATGCTTCAACCATGGTAATAATCCTATATTATTGCTGTAGGAACATATATTCTCCTTTTCTACCTTCAGAGTAGAAAAGGAATCATAGAAGAGCTATTATTGGCAGACTAGAATAAAGTACCTTCTATTGTTTATCCAATTCAGTGGATATAATAAACGTAATTCACTTGCCAATAAATGTATATGGATTAAAATTACTTCTTTTGAAGCTTATTGTTAGGTTAATCACCAAGTGATATCTTAAGTGTTTCCAAATAGTAATTGAGGATACTTTGTAAAAATGTGCTAGAACTAATCGTATTTTCCACCCCATTTTTGTCAGAATATTGTTCCAAAACTACTTTTAAAACTTTATCCCAACTCTTAAAAAATGACCAAAGCCACTCAGGCTACCACCAAATAATGAGTGTATGGTAGTGTTGACAAATATTTTCTAATACTGGAAACAGATGAACAACCTATTGGCTAGACAAACTGTAGCTGTTTACCAGTATTTATTCATTTTGTCTCTCCAGTAATCAGATTTAACATAAATGAAAGAAATAAAGATAGTGCATACAGGGATCGTATCTCATCCTTGATTTGCTGAAGACGGTTATCGTTCTTTGTATAAGCTGGATGGCCCAAATACATATAATACATATCAGAAGAAGAAAATGTTCATTCTATAAGGTTCAGAAATTTTGAAAAGACGTGTTTTCCAGTGTTAGTGATAGAAAATGGTACCGGCTAGAAAAGGAAGCTGACGCCATTCTTTCAAATCAGTAGATAAATCCTGTAGGGTCTGTTCTTGCTGGAGAAGATCCATTTCAATTTCAGCCTCCTCTAGTTCCTAAAGCATATTCAAGTTGAATCACTTGATCTAGAAGGTTGAGAGTAACCAAATGTTTCAGTAAAGATGCCAACTTACCATATCTTTTTGGTCAATTTTCTTTGAGAAGAAATCGAAGTATGACTTGACAGAAGTTAAATTGGCAAGGATCTATCACAAAACAATAAAAAGATAACAATTAAATAAAGCACGTGAAAGGCAACTACTCTTTGCAAGACATAGTGAGGACTCCAAGGACAAATCAAATAAAAATAAAAATCAACAGACAAATGGAAGAGGTAAAAAAGCTACAAACAAAAGGATTAAATTCAGTTGTGTTTTACTCTCTCTCCCCTTTTTGTTTTGATGAATTTCAGTTTAGCTCTCTCTCTCTCTCTCTCTCTCACTCTGTGTGTGTGTGTGTGTGTGTGTGTGACAATTCATAACAATAATAATAATAATAATATCAACAAACAAATTATTAACTAAAACAACTTTTTTACAAATTTCATTTAATAAGAACCTTAAATTTTACGTCCATACTAAGAACATATATTTGCAAAGTTGATTTAGTTAGTCCCGCAGCTGAGCCATATTCAACTGAAACTATCGCGCAGGATAATAATAACAAAAACAATAAGGAATCACACAACAAATTATTAACCAAAACAACATTTTTTTTACAAATTTAATTTAACAAGAATCTTAAATTTTACCCCCATAAGAACATATACTTGCAAAGTTGATTTAATAAGTCCCAGCAGAACCCCCATCCCCCAAATAGATGAGAAAGACTTATTTGAGTGGACCAGGCATATTCAGCGCACTCTAGTTGTGAGGTTTCTGATATACAACATCCCTAGTTACAATTGGATACATCTTAGGCAGGGAGAGAGTATAGAAAAAAACTAGTTGCATCAGGAACATGGATATCTTATCACTGTCATTAAACAAATATTTCTGACGCAGACAAAATTACCATGATAATGATCCACATCCACAACTAAATTGCACTGTATGACATGGTAATGATTTCTACCTGAAGTATTGATTCCCGTGTGCTTCCAAAATCTGGGTCCAGTTCTTTCGAAGAACTTGAAGAGAGCGCTTCTTTCAGGAACTTAAATGCAAAAGTATGGTTCAGAGAATACAACGTTAGCATAAAATAAAAATATTATTCCGTTCATCTGAAAAGTGAGCAGAAAATAAAACTTTTTTTTTTTTTTTTGGTGGGTAAGATGATAAAACAATTAATCTATTGTTGCCTGAATATGTTAAGCCTTTGATGTTATCTGCTTTGTAAAGAAACATATTAGAATTTCAAATTCAACCTACCACTTACCTCTTTAGCCTCATCTCCTTCATTTTTCAGTTTGCACAATGCTTTGCATGTTTTTTCCACAAGATCCCCAGCCCTGCCTTCTACATGCAAACAGTTAGGAAAAACAAGCATATTGAGCAACATGCTCAACAGATATTTCATACTAAATCTCTATAACATTAAATAAATAGAACTATACCAGCATTTGGCATTGCTAAAGTTTCAATATTTCTCCAAACATTTTGGGATATCAGAGAAATGTCTTCAGCTGGAGAGTACAGGCAAACACTGGCTATGAGTGCTAATGAAAGTAGAGTTAATGGGCCTTCACATGTCGGGTGCACAAAATTTCTCAAACCATGAAGAATAAATTCAGCAGCTGCGAGAAGAGACTGTAACTGCTGCCGTTCAGCAAATGGAATAAAGTCTATAAGAAGTGCCATTGCATGAGTCCTTAAAATTAATGATGTGTCAGATGATGCCAGCACAGCCACCCGATCCCATAAACTTGAAACCAGAGGTGATAAAATTGACCCAGAACCAGAAATAACAAAGTCGGGTGACATTAGCTTATTGCGAGAAGTAGAAGTTAATAACTCTGTTCCACCATGCACGTCTCGACCTACAAGTTTCCCCAAGTGCTGAAGTGCAATAAACCGTTGTTCTGGTTCAGGATGACCAATCATTGAACAGAGCAGATCAACAAGAGGAAATTCACTTTCATGAAGGCTATGGATGCCTCTAGCAAATAAGAATGACAACCACTTATCAGTTTGCAAGCGCCAAACAATTTTTGGTGCGCTGCAAGAAAATTTCTTCATTGCAGAACATATGGTATCAATCACATTATCGAGACAAAAGAATCGAGGGACTCCAAGTAGACAATCAAGCATCAGAGACGCAACTTCCCAGCAATGGTTCTCTTGTAGTACCATAATCACTTTAGCAAATCCTTCAAGACCAATCCTCCAATGAACTGGGAAGTTGTCAACGGGGTTAGACGGAAGGAGAGACTCATTCTCAGCCGTAGCAGATGTAGAAACTTCTTGGGCAATTGAGGATAAGCATCTTGAGTACATAAAACAATGTGCTGACGTTAGAGCCAACTTCTTTGCCAGTTGGTGATGAATACTCCAACAGAGTTCAATAGTTGGATTAAGTTTGGCAATGAGACCCTCTAAGTCTTCCAAAAAAGTTTCTAATTCCTCAACGGATAAATGACAAACCTTTTGATTTGAGACAACATCATCGCCAATGTCATTTTCCAGCTTCTCATACACATCAGTTGGAAGAGAGGTGTAGCAGATATCATTGAGAAACCATGACTGTGATTCAGAGCTATTATCACAGGGCTCATCAGTGCTCACATCGTGCATCTTAAGAGGAATAACACCAAGCATTCTTGAAGTCTCAACTAGCAAAATTTTGCAACAGTCCATAATAGTCTGAAATGAGCAAAGGTAGTCATGGAAAGAAGTTGTTGGTTCAAAAGTAGCGAAATCAGCCCAGAAGGTCAAGGACCGTAAAAGTTCCCTTTTACACTGGAAGGATAAATCAGGAAAAACAGATGCTAAAATGAAAATTGTAAGTGCCCTGTTATGTACTTTTTCTGTTGGGCTACCTTGGTTCTCATTGTTCTGTCTAATATTAGTAAAAAGCTCATCAAAGCATAAAGATTCAAAATTGAGACAGGAATCATCAGTCAATAGTTTTTCCTCATCAGACACCTTACGTAAGGAATACGAGATAATTGGCTGTAACAGACCGAGAATAGAGTTGAGAAATGACACATCACAGTATGAGGTCCTACAAAGAGATACCAGCACTTGTATCACTCTAGGTATTTCAGGCACCATTGCTTCCATGTGCTCAGTTACAATGGCTTCAAGTATATACAGGATGATTGCTTTGGCATTCTTTGCAACAAAACCTTTAAAATAATCAGAATTATTTTGAGAAGAAAGCTGTTCCTTCTCTTTTTGAAAAAATGGCCATGAACATAGATCAGAAAACCAACACAACAGATCCGGCACAACACTAGCAGATAGAGATCTCAGTTGCAATCCAACAGCCTCCAATATTATTTCCCCGAAAGCTTCAAACTGCTTTTTCATATTGGGAAAGAAATGACATATATCAGGGTATATGGCATGGAAACATTGGTCAGAATATTCTTGACCTAATTCAAAACCTCTATTGGAGCCTGTATCTTGTTCGACTCCTTTCAGTTCAATCTTATTGTTCTCATTTCTCTGCTCAACAATGTTATCTACTCGAGCAAGCTCATCAGCAAAAATAGATAGTAAATACAACAGCTGTGATAGATCTGAAGCAAGGAAGAGCCGCTCCTTCAGATACTGCTTGGCATTACGAGATATTGCCATCCAACCAAGAAACCGAACCAGAGGAGAAGCACAAGAAGAGAATGTAGATATTTTCTGCAACCAAGCTGATGGAGGAATCAAATTTGCAAACCTAAAACCATTGTTGATACTGAGAGAAAAGTTAGGCTCTTCATCACCACCACTTGAAGCAATTACCATCCTTTGAAGAAGCATCCAGCGGCGTTGTACCTGATGTACCTTTCCTGGATCCAACTTCAAACTCCCTTCTTTGAACTGATAGTAATAAGATGTCAGCAGCTCATTTAAGTACTCAGCAGATCCTAATACAATATCAATCACATGTTCAGGAGCACAGAATAGCTTAGTTGCTGAACACAACAAAAAGAAAAGACTTTGCATGAGAATTTCATGCATGGAGTGTTGCTCCCTCTGCAGCCGCTGGATCAGAAAATTGCACAACAGTGCTTGATTCTGTCGAACCAAGGTAATGGCATCCGTAGATATAACATCATGCTTAGACAAATTTATGACTTCCTCACTTTCTTCAGCATAGGTGGGACAAAGTCCCACATCTGACACAGTTTTTCTATAGTTCCTGTCTAGTTTGGCAGCCTCAAGCAGAATTTGAAGAACAATATTGTCCCTTTTCCTTTCAAGATAAGCAACTGTTTTCAAGTCATTATCATTCTTCTCCAAAACACTTCTGAGATCAGCAAACTCATGGTTTCCAGTAATTTTGGTCCCGCCAACATTCATCTCATTGACAACCTCTGAATTGTCTCTAAAAGACATCATAAAGAATGGATTGACATAGCACTCGGCAGCCAAGAGCAAAGCATCTATGGCAGCATCATGACTCTCAGGAGTAATCTCACGGTGTGAGTGTAAATCTAAAGCCAAACGCCGAAATTCAGAAGCCCTCAACTCACAATCTCGATATTTCATTAGTTGCATATAATCCGCATGCAAGTTAGAGTACTCAACGGTATAACCAGTATCTAAGCCATTTTGGAACTGGTTATTCAAATTTTTCTCAACTATGTGTTTCTCCTCTGAGCTGACATTACAACGGCTTGAATCAGAGCTCTTTCTGTCTGGGCTGCCAGAAACAATCGTAAGGGCCATGCTCCTTAGTTCTGGTGGGGCGAAAAAGAGAATGACATCTTCAAAAATATCCATCTTTGCGGTGGCATCAGAAACATCCATCTTTCCATCAACGTCATCTTGGCTATTAAATTTTGAGGTGACTCCTCCATAGCGAGGGACAGAGGAAAGAGACAAAACAGTTTCATGCTTTAGAGGCTCGGACAGGGGGAATTTGCGAAGGTCAATTTCAGGAGGTAACTGCATGTGAGGTTCCAATATTGAGAGAAGTACACTGCATGAGGAAACGCATCAATTCATTACTAATCCATTATAACAAAACACTATACTGGAACCTTGACTATTTCAGCACAGCCCCAAATAAATCAACTTACATTTCCTGCAGACCACACGTTTTGTACAAAGATTGTATCAAGTAAGAAATTAATCTACTTCTCCATAAAATTCATATAAATCTTCACATCTCCATGGATATTGATTCATAAAATAAGCATGATAAGATTTACCGCATTAATATTCCATATATAATCTTCTTTCCACTTAACAGTTTTGTCTGTGAATTCATGATACTACAAAGTTAACTCATGTACTCTAATACATAGTATTTGACTCGGATAAACTTCTATTGATATATCTTTGAGGGCTTGTTGGACAAGGATCCATGGGAAGATAATATGGCAGCAGATTTTTATTTAGTTACTAGAGTACTATTAGGAGTCCTTTTTTATGAATATTGTTTTACCTTTTCATTTGTATTGTTCTTGTGAATTTCATAATAGAATTTTTGGTTTAGATTGTTAATTTATTACATGTTGGGGAGAGTTAATTTTTTAAGGAAATCATGCTTTATTTTGGTTTTGTAAGGACAATAAATACCCACTCATGTTGCACCCTCCCTATCTTCACTCTCTCTCTCTCTCGTCTCCCCATTCTTCTCTAGTAAACGGGAAGCTTGGAAGATCCACTTGTTTCCATCTCTTTATACCTTAGTTCTTCTTTTTCTTTCTTATCATTCATATAGTTCAAAGAAATAACAAGAAAATTCTTCTCTTTCTTTCTTATCATTCATATAGTTCAAAGAAATAACAAGAAAATCAGCATACTTTACTACCACCCACCGTATGCGAAACAATATTCTCATGAGAAGCAGGTTAGTACAACAGCTATCAAGATGATGGAACAATCTTCTTAACATGAATGATTACAGAACCAATAAAAAATATATATATATTTCCAATAAGAGGACATTGATGCACCATAAATGATGCAGGACCTATAAAAATATTATGTTGGTCCATATTTTCAATCTTAGTTATGCAAGAAGTCCATGAGAACAATGATTATTTATTTTGTAAACTTTTAGGAGTTTTAGTGGGTTTGTGAATAAAATGTATGGCTTTATATGTTACTGTACCAGGTATTCTGTATCTTTAGGAGGTCTTTATGCGTTAATAGGGTTTTGTGAGGCCTCTAAATAGGTTGATCGAGAAAAATACGTGAGATTTTGGAAATGGATGAATTTAAATGAAAATCTAATAGAGATTTGGCTGTGTCTTCTCCTTCCCCTCTCTCTGTGTCTCTCTTTCCACCTTCTCTTCTCTAGCATTTGAGAGGCATATAAGTTGCTTGTGGCACCCTCCCTCTTTTCTCTTCTCTTTTCTTTTTTCTCCCAATCCTCTTTTCTGAATGAGAAGCTAGCTTTGCGTCCTTTCTTATCATACCAAATATTAGAGAGAAAAAAAAGAATATCAGCATTCTTTATCACCCACCACACATTCAACAAAATTCTCATGAGATCAAGACACTGATTTGGTATTCAAGTGAAATCCATTAAGGATATAAAGAAATGGAATCTTCCCTATCTTTACTCTTGAGCAATCTTAAAACTCCAAGTTGAGTTTTTTCCAATAAGAAGAATGACCTCACGAATTATAGGCTTTGATAGGAATAAAATTCAGCATATAAATGCATTTTTAGAGGCTTGTTTGACATGAGATCCACAAGAAAACCATATGACAGCAGATTTATTCTAGTTATCAACAAGATGCCTGAAAAATGCTTTAATCCATCCCCCTCCTATTTTCTTTATTTTTCTCTTTCACCATTATTTTCTCTCTTTCTTTCTAACCATATCCTACACATAAAAATAAAATAAAATAAAATATAAATATAGATAAAAAAATAAAAAAAATAACAGCATGCTTCACCACCCTCCACATGCTTAATAAAATAACATGAGAGGCAGGTCATGTCATAGGCTTTGATCTAGAAAAATTCAACATCTCAATTTATCTTTGAAGGCTTTTTTAAGATGGGGCCCATTAGAAGATAAATTGCAGCATACATTTTTTGATTATTAGATGAATTTATCTAGGTCCATTTTTTAGTCATCTCCTGTCGCATATTAGGATCCTCAGTTAATTCCATATCCCTTGTTCCTGTAATGAGGGCCATTATGTCTAGATTTGTGCTTATAGTCTTAAGTTCCACATGGCTGGTTCGAAGAGACTCCTAAAAAATAAAATTTTCTATGGCCAGATAAACAGAATAAAACCGTAATAAATTTCAAAATCATGTATATTCTAGACAAAAAGTTCAACGAAAAAGAAAAATCTATCTTTACCTCGGAGCAACAGATCCACGCCTCCATTCAGATTCCAAGGATGGAAGAACAGCAGGCTTTTTCACTGCTGTACGAATTACATTGAGTGCAACTTCACAAGTACGTTCCTGCTTTTCCTGAAACACTGAAGAAACATTTCCAAAAGCTATCATACTCTTTATCGGGTTCATGGCCGGATCAATAAAAGGCTCTAACATCTCCACAAGAAAGAGAATTCGATGTTTAACTTCCTGAAACACACATAATAACAAAGTTCAGGGCAACCATATCTGGCAGTTAAACAAGCTAAGCTAAGTTATTCTATCAAGATCTCCACAAAACACAAAGGTTATTTAGTTGCAAAGTGTTGAGTTTGACACCTGACATTCCTAGAAAGCAGTTTGACAGATTTCTTTTCCCAAAAATTTGACGCTATGCACCATAAACAAAAGATAAGAACAAAAAAAGTATGCATGATGGCATACCTTATATTTTGCCATTACATCATCCATATTCCCAGATAAAGCCAACACGATATATTTAAGGGCAGCACGAGCACGGGTTAAGGAATGCCGAACACCCTAATGTAGGACAAGAATAGGATATTTATTATATCCAGATATAAGAAGAAAGGAAATATTTCAGCAGCCATTGCACAGTTCAAACAATAAAATATATATATATATATATATATATATATATATATATATATATATATATAATATAAATAAATAAAAAAGCGTTTTCAAGGTCCCGGTCCAAGATTGTGCTGCATCTAGTGCCAGACTGCTTTCCTTGTTTCTGTTAGAATGTCATGTGTTGGCACATTCTGTAAGCACAAGTTGTATCATGGTCATAGTGTACTGTCACTTTAGTAGAAAGTTCAGGTTGACATTTAAGCAATAATTTTAGATTGAAAACTGAACTGAAAAATCACATCGACGTCGTGCTTCAAGGTCCATCAATAACATAGTTTAGATAAGGTAGGTGTAGCATTTGAAGTGATTAACTAATAACTAATTTGGTCTAGAAATTTCCTAATTGACCTTGAATAATAAATTAAATTAGATTTATAATCAATTGGAAAAGTTAAATTAATTTGGAAATAGTTTAAGCTTAATATGAAGTTATTGAAGATTTAATGGAGGAATCACTGGAGATATCTTTCAATAACTGATGTTGTTTCCTATTATTGAAGATTTGGTGTTACTAGAGGAATCGGTAGAGAAAAATCCTCCTTATTTCCTATTTCCTAATTCTTTCCATTCTCATAATTTCTTCTCCTATATAAAGGAGCCTCATCATTGTATTGTATATGAATTGAGAGAGTATTATAAAAGTGATGTAGCCCTTTGAGCTCTTTGTGCCGTGGATGTAGGCTTTAGTGGCTGAACCATGTAATATCCATGTGTTCTACTTGTTTTATTTATCTCTTCACTTCCGTTTTATGCTTTACAACATGGTATAAGAGCCTAATTTCTCTTCCTAGGTTCGGACCCCTATTTTGGAGTATTCCCTTACCATTGACATACTGCTAAGGGTTTCTCGGTGCTATTTGTGACTTGTTTGGGCTACTGGTTTGTTCGGCAATAATGTTCTTAGCTTTTGCCATGTCTCCGACAGTTTTTTATTGACTTGTTTGGGCTGCCAGTGTATTCGGTAGCATTGTCTTCGTCTTTGTCGTGTCTCCAGCAGTTATTATCGACTTGTTTGGGCTGTCGGTGTGTTCGGTAGCATTGTCCTCGTCTTTCCCGTGTCTCCAGCAGTTTTTTGTTGACTTGTTTAGGCTATCGGTGTGTTCGGTAGCATTGTTCTTCGTCTTCTCTCCTCTCTCTTCATCATTAACACTTGTTGTTACTCGTCATCTCAATGGCAAGTTGGGCATTCATGCTCCAACTTGAGGGGGAGCATTGAAGATTTAATGGAGAAATCAGTGGAGAAATCTTTCAGTAATTGATATTGTTTCCTATTATTGAAGATTTGGTGTTACTAAAGGAATCAATGGAGAAAAATCCTCCTTGTTTCCTATTTTTTAGTTCTTTCCATTCTCATAATTTCTTCTCCCATATAAAGAAGCCTCACCATTGTATTGTATATGAATTAAGAGAGTTATATAAAAGTGATGTAGCCCTTTGGGCTCTTTGTGCCGTGGATGTAGGCCCTAATGGCTGAACCATGTAATATCTCTGTGTTCTACTTGTTTTATTTATCTCTTCGCTTCCGTTTTATGCTTTAAAACAGAAGTTAAACATTGAGTATCGTTTAATTTGGGAATTAATTTGGAAACCTTAATTTTGGTTAGAGAGTTTAGAGTTTGAATTAAGAACCAAATAAGTAGTTGAGGTTAAATAATGATTTCAAGTTGTAAAAATTGACCTTTGTGTCTTTAGAAATTCCAAAAATATAAAACATTTGGTATAATGAGCTCTATATTTCCATAAACTAGACTCCATAAGTTTTCAATGGTATATGTTATGACAAACGCAATGAACCCAAGTTGAACCAACAATCACGACGGAAAAGTAAACACGCCACACAAAGAACACAAAGATTTCTACGTGGTTCGGCAACAGCCTACATCCACGGTTGGGATCTGGAGAAAGTTTTCACTATGTGTAAAATCGGAGATTACAAGTTTTCAGCCCCCCACTCTGTTTCTGTATGAATTTTAGAGTCTCTCTCTTCAACCACTTCAAACCCTAAGTGCCCTTATATATCGGGTTACAAGGGACTAATTAGGGTCCACGATCCATGAGCAAAAAAGAGGCTTGGGCCCACACAAAGCTCATCTAACAAGCCGTCGGGTTATAAGCGGGTCGCAACACGACCCATCACCAAATTCGGGCCACAACATCACAGTATATTATGTGCCCAATTTTGAGTCAATTTGACACGTAACCTCTGACTAAGGTCAGAAAAGTCATCACCGATATAACCTTGACCTTGGATTGATCGACTCACTCCAGAATGCTACGACTGATACCTCAATTGAATGAACAACAATCGTCACTGCTGAAGTTGCTTGGATAAAAAAAACTTGCCTTGAATTGATTGGTGGATGTTCCGGGGTAAAATATGTGGTTCCAGGCCCTTCCAAGAATCGAGAACCTCTTAATTTTAGTCAGGGATAGAACTCGCCTCTCATTTATTGGGAATTTCTTCGCCTTGTCATGGGAGCCCCTCTTATCAGGGAAAAGTCTACTCTTTGAAAGAGAGTCAACGACAATGACCAGTGTAGTGCGGAAAGGTTATTGAGACGGATCCTATCAAGTACTGTGTGGTTGCCCCTTTGAACGATTTGCACGATTAAGAAGCAACTGTCTCTTGTACAGATCGTGTACCTTTCATCACTGTCATGGTAGGGGAGAACTGAATCAGCTTAGAGTGAGTTCCAGTTTACGTTTTTCCACCAGAAGAGCTCTGAGAAATTCCAGAAACTTCATAGGTAATGCAAGGAGCAAAGCCGCTTTACCGAGTTTACGAGGTATATATAACCAGAGAAGGGCAACCACTTGCTTCTGGACTGGAGGAGCCAGTGAAGCAAGTTCCAAGGCCATTCATGAAAGCAGATAGAAAACCTTAACCTTTGAATGACTCCAATTAAGCAAGCAGGAGTATTGGTACCAATGGGAGCATTCAATTGGGGTGAAGCAAGACCTAGCTGACTTGCCTTTTGCTTCTGAGTCTGAAGAGGGGATCTGTCTATTTATGTTGATCAACTCCAATCCCGTCACGGAGATCCGGGTCTGGGCAGTACAAGAGCTTGAGGGATTGAAGAGCCAGCCATTACAACCAAAGATTAATGAGAGATTGGTTGTATTTACTTAACTGGGACTTTTTGTTTATCTTTCTTAGTATTGGCATCGTGATTACGGAAATCTGTGGTACTTTCTTACACTAATTTAGTAGGCTCCCCACAATCGTGCGAAGTCAGACTGGGATAAGAACCTACTATACTAATAAGCCGACAGCTCATCCCAACATCTATATCCTTTGTGTTTAATTGCCGTTGTGTGGGCTCGCAGATAGGCGATGGGCGAGATCGATGAGTTGCGTGAAAATCTTTATGACACAAACTAAAGCAAAATTTCGTTTTGGAAGTCTCTCTTATTATTTCATTGCTCCCTTGCCTTCTCAATGGCTTATTTTCTATTATTCCTCGTATTGGTAAGCTTGTGCTATTGTGTTGGGCACTGAGATCGAGTTTCTTTTTCTTTCGATTTGGAATAGTAGTGCAAGCCAATGTATGAGACTTGTCTTTCTGCAACTGGGGCAATTGCCAGTTCTCCACACCCACCAATTGAGTGATCCACTCAACAAAAACTTTCTAATTAACCGCACACTATAGAAAGGTGTCCTATGGTTCTCTAGACATAAGAGATAAGAAATCAAAACATACGTGAGAAAAATTAAGAGGCATAACCTTGACAGCTTCATTTTATTTTATTTTTTCCTAAGCAAAATTTTATTAACAAGGCAAAAAAACAAAGACGAGAGGCTTTTCATTATAACAACAATCTTGAGAGCTATATTTTCAACCGCAAGTTAGGCTTTTCATTAAAATACCCTATTATATTGTGTGATTGAGTCCTAAAAGATTTAAAGATTGATCAACCAAAACATCTATTCACAAAAAGAACAATGAGTTGGTTTGGAACGACAAGAAATCACTAAAAGAAGAGCGGGTTGCATGAGAAGCGGATTCGTTTATTGACAGCAGCAAAACACGAGTCTAGATGACAGAGAGTTCAACATAGGCGTTCTTAGAGGTACAAGTACGGACATAGGGTTGTACTCTTTTCCATTATAGTGGATTATTTGTGTCTGACTCTGACTTGTGGTATTTCCCATTTGGGTTTTTTCACATAAATTGTTGTCTCTGATTCACTTTATGGTTTGCGGTTTTGGATTGATGATTGGATGATAATACAAATGAGCATGATTAATTAATGGGTTAATTCCACCTACACCTCCTGACCTTTGACCATATCCCAGTCACACCCCCTCTACGTTTCAATATTCCACCTACCTCCCCTCTCTGTGATGGCCATTTACTTCACTAACAGAACTGGGTGATTTTACAATTTTAACCATCAATTATATATTAATATTTATAAAATTTTGGAGCCAAATTGAAAAGAAAAAACAACCTTCTATATACATACATAGACAAATATACATATACTACGCAAAAAAAAAAAAATAAAAAATAAAATAAAAAAATCTTTAGACAAACACCATTCTTCCCTCGCGTCCCTCCTCCGCGCGCCACCATTAGCACGATCGGATTACAGCCTCGACGGCCATCACCCATCACCGTCGTCACCATCCACCTAGTTGAGCTCATCGGTTGCGCGTCCGCAGTGGTCAACATCGACAACACCAAAAAAATTCGGCATCAAAAACCCTAATCACATCCAAGCCCGAATTGACCAGATCATCACCCCCTTTGAGCTTCAAACAAAGATCCAACTCCGTCACCATCACTCCGTCCACTTTTCTTTTGTCGGGGTTATTAAGTCCTCGGACATTCCACGAAATAATTCTGCACTTCATCAAGAACAGATGGATAACCCTTCCCCTTTCCTTCTCCCTCTACCCCTCTCCTGACTCCTCTCCATCCCAGACCCATTAGTCCCCTCATAATTCACACCGGAGAACAAGCTGCGAATCTCCCTACACCCTTTCCACGGAGTCAGCCTCTTCTCCTTGCTCACTGCCCGTTTCCTGCTACCCCTCTCCTCCCCAATCTCCCCCTCAGCAATTGAATGCAAAACCATACGAGCCTACTTCTCATTTGGCTCAAAGGAAATCCCCAACAGATTGCTCACATTATCAATATTCTCCTTTACCCAATCCACCCCACTATCCTCATGCACTGCTGCATGAAAACCCCTCCATCTCCCATCCGGTCGTATCTCAGACAATGGTGTTGAATGCACTCCAGAACCTCAGCCTCCTCCCATAAAGCCAACGCTCTGTCATTTGGCTCACTATCCTCAGCTTCCCTACCTCGACACTCTTCAGCGGTACTAGCCACTCCATTACAAGTCATAGGAGTGCCTATAACACCATCAAAGACATCCCCAATTGCCTCCGAGCCAAAATCTAAGGTTCGGTTCAGTCCTTTCAGCATCTTCTAAGCATGTAATTCCTTCACCAAAGCCGAAGCAGCATCATTACCCAGATTGAACCTCATATCTCATCCCACACAAACCGTAACCCCCTCAGCATCTTCATCAGTCTGATCTCGAGAATCATCCTCCCCGGGCGTCGCATCCCTTTCTGACATCCCGAGACACAGCATTTGGGTTGGTGCTTTTGACTTATTTTATATTCATAAAATTATGGGGTTCATGGTCAGTTACTCTTATTACTTGAAACAGGTGTAATGAACTTGTCCTCCTACAATGCCAAAGTGATTTACTTACAGCTACTCCGCGATCTAACAAAAACTCCTCCAAAACTACATAAGGTCTAGCAACATTGTGTATAATTTCTAAATACCTCTGAAACACAAGTATATTAATTTATTACTCCCAACAGTGTTGAAAATTAATAGATGCTATGGCTGGATAGCATTCATGTTACTATATGCAGCTTTGATGTGCGAGAAACTATCACAAATGAATCATTTGTACATAGTTATTGTATAAATTAAGCACACTAGTTCTTAGAAAATTATGAGTTCGCAACAAAATGGAGGACTAATATCTCAGAACCCAATTCTGAGGTGCCATTATGATGTAGGGGAGGAACCACTAGGTGTTGTGAAACTTGTGGTGCCATCGTATAACATACATGAGTCATAGACATATAATCTCAGGATATTTTAGCATTCAATAGATTAGGCTTGTATCACACTCTAGCTGTGATTTTGCAGCCACTAGGTGTCTACTAAAACATGTGTTAACTGGACTCTTCATGGGAGGCCAAGGTGTCACGACATGGCACAGACACTGACACTTGATATAAGTTGGACACTCCTTTGTGTCTATCCGGCACGGCTGGCGAAGAAAACTTATAGATTGTTTGGATTGGTTGATGCTGGTGAAGGTTTGATTTTTTTTTTTTTTTTTTTGTTTGTTTGTTTGTTTGTTTGTTTGTTTCTTCATGGATGAGTTGGCATTCATCTTGTTTGGAAGTTCTCTGCTTCAAAAATGGCATATTTGCCAAGAGTTGAAGGTGGTTATTTTTCACGTGCTGCCTTTGCATGGGTTTTTGTATCAGCCGAGTGTGTTTTTCACACATTGGATCAGTTTGTTTGAAAGGTTGTGTTGCTGCCACATATGTCTCCACTTGTAGATAATGGAGAATTTTGGCCTTCAGTGACAACTGTTCTACATTAATGACAGCTGCTGTTTGTTGAAAAGTTGACGACAGCTCATTTTTAATATTTATAAGATAAAAGGGTAAAATTATTTGGGAAAATGTGATTTTACTTTGACTCTCGGTATATAAGATACTAATCTTTATCTTTTAAGACTCCTTATCTATTTAAAACTCTTTTTCCGACTTTTACCATTCCTTTAACTTTTAATATATAAATGTACATAAAATCTCTTTTAAGTAAAAATTTAACATGTAAATTTTTTAAGTATCTGTCCAAGTATCCAAGTCTGGACACCTTTTAGCCGAGTCTCCGTGTCCAATAATTCAGGAGAATGATGAATCCGACCCCTAGACACGCACCCATGTCCGACACCCGTACCCAAGTTCAGGTGACATAGACTAAAACACAAGTTGAACAAGCACTCCATCATTTTCAAGTAGCAGATCGAAGATCTAGAACTAGGAAATGCTGAATCGGTTACATCTATAACCATAAAAAACCCAAGATAGTAGAAAGATAATAGAATTTGAAGTCAGTATCTAACTTCATAGTTCATATCAATTATTATATTTAGACTTGAAGTTCAAAATATAATGAAGCATTTAAAGTGCACAATCATTGTTAAACGCACCTGGATTACACCTAAAAGGTCCTCAAGAAGCTCCACAGTTAAATCAACCTATAAAAGAACAAGGTCTAAGACTTGAGAATGTTTTCTAGAGAAACAAACAAAGGGGTGCGCTAAAAGAGTACCATTAAACTATATTGCTATACAGCATAGCACTAAAAAATGGGTAATGTGTACAACCTTTGCAATCACTTGGGCCATCCATGGTGCCAGCACACCAGAGCACAGATCAATGAGAACACATGCAGCCTTAGCCTGTGGGAGAAGTTGAGATTAAAGCCGTTTTGTTTCCAAGTGAGGCCAACTAATTTCATAAACAACAAAACTCGGCATTAGATGTTAACATAGAATTTTAAGTCATGAAAAAAACATGAGGTTTCTATACTTCCACGATGGTGTTATTTCTTTTCTCATTTCTAAAAGAATCAATCTGACATAAAAAAAAAAAATCATAACTTACATATCCAATATCATGTAGGGCACAGTAAAAAATATTTTGAACTAAAAATGATATGAAAAATCTCAACATTAGCATGGACAAACATGTAGTATAAATGGAACTTAATGTTAGATGCAGAGTTCAACTCATGGATATAGAATTTTCTATTGTTATCAGGCTAAAATTGACTTGATATTGGGGGATTCCAGGAACAAAATATCTGAGCAGCATGTCATGACTTCTTCAGGCATATCAAACTGGCTAGTATATCTGATGACTAGGCGATTAAGGGGCTCCAGTTTTTTACTTCAGGTACGTCCTACACTGTAAACTAAGAATATAATAAATTAAATGCGTACAGGTGTTGGTTTTTAAACTGGCTAGTATATCTGATGACACTATTGTACTTCAAAAGTGCACTTACACTTTACGAGTACTGATTATTCCACTCAGTACTTTCGCACTCCACTTTCGAGTGGTACTTGTGTCATCTCATTTATTACAGATTTGATTAAGTGGAATGCAAGAGTACAAAAGTGGAGTATATCGTGACTGTGGGTGAAAGATAGAATATGTAGGGTTTAATTTTTGAGATTATCAGATTATGTATTGAAGACATGTCTTTATGGGCATTGGGATTTTCTTTTCTTTTCTTCTCTCTCTCTCTATGTCTCGTTTTCTTTCTTTTTTTCCATCTTTTTTTTTTTTTTTTTTTTTTTTTTTTTGAGAAGGTGGGGTGGTGGTGGTTTTGGGTTTTGTGAGTGGGTGTGGGGGAGAGAGTTATCACAAAAGAAGTAGAAGTGTGCATGTTACTCCAACTAATAGAAAGAGGCAGTTACATATTCTACATTGGAAGAGAGAATGAAGTACTTGTGTGATCTAAAAAACCAGAAGCGAAAGTAACCAACATGTGATGGTGAAAACGATGATAGGTAGCCGGCACAAGCATGAAGAAGAGGACGGTATATCGAAGAAGATGATGTTGCCACAATCTGCAATTAAAACTACAATGGTGAAGAACCCAATATCATTGAAGAGAAAGAACTTTTAGCATGGAAATACATCGAGTCCGAAGGCAACCTGAGATAGTGCATCTAGCACGAAAGGTTGTCTCCATTGAGAGAAATTATCATCAACATGATCTGTGCTGCTGATATTAGGACGAAGTGCTACAACAAATCCAAAAAGTACACGTCAAGAAAAAAAATTAACCATTTTCAGGAAAATGCTCAACAAACAATATACTCAGAATGGCATTGCTTAAAAATTGAGTTATTTCCAATTGAAAGCAACTTACTGTAGAATCAATAGAAGTAAATGATTCATGTATAAACATTGTTATGGTATGGAAGAAAAAAAAAATTAAAAATAAAGACGGATTATTATTTTCTGTAATTCATTTTTAGTTTGGTCCTATCTTTTGTTTTTCCCAAATCACTGAAAATAACCTTGAGTTCCCGAAAGTTGAAATAATAACAGCAAACAACAATTATCCTTTCAAGGGGTATATGCTATTGAACCTGGCAGTAATGCTTGTACAAGTGGTAATGCAGACCAAAAGTCAGAATTGCCATCAGCTAATTTGCTGCAGAGCAGAGGCTGTGACACCGACAAAAAGTTAATTGTAAAGATGGTTAAGATGGCAGAATATGGAAACATAAACAATAAATGAATACAATGGACGCCAAGGAATAGTTTCGTGTCTGACATTGTTACTCACCTGTGATGCACAAGCGTAAAGAACATGCAAAATTCCTTCTTCTACTGCAGCAATATCTAAGATATTAATATAGTTGGATTCCCACTGATCATCAGGTATCCTGAATTCTTCCCCAAACAAGCTCGAGTAATCAACAAAAAGAATAGGATTAGATAAATCGGCTTTTGAAGACTTGACATCAGAGGAAGAGATAGAGCCTTCTTGTACAGTAATAGGCCCAATGAGCTTCAGAAGAATTCTAGAAGCCTGAGATCAAGCATAAGAATATAGACAGGTGATAATTAGCACATCCAGTGCAAGGATGAAACTTAGTCAGCAAAGTTGAAATATAAGGGCAGCTCCAAATAGATTTATTACCGTTCTGCAAATAGTTCCCAGCTGAGAATCTTTATAAGCCCTTCTCAGCAATGTGAAGATTGCATCTGGACGAAACACTATGGAACTGGATGTGGGCAAGGAAAAGTGAGATGTAGTGCGTGATCTCCTTGGCTGGGCATAAAAATTAAAGAAAAGCAAGGATTAAGTGCCATTTTTACATTATTTTAATTATCAGAAAAATGAAACTACCAGTACAAATAGAACATTCAAGACCAAAAACTAATGAAACAAAGAAAAATTATAACACCAGATCACAACAATTCTATATGCATTAAAAAAGAGTAAGAATAAAAAATAAGAAAAAAAAAAAAAAAAATTACAATGGACAATAAAGAAATAAACCCTACTTCTGAAAGGAAAAAAAATGCAAAAATAATACAGAGAGAAAAGACAAAGAAAGTACAGATATTCACTTTAAACCCATGAAGTATAGCACCAGATCCAAAGTTGACTGCATAAATTTGGTTGGCAAAACTTAAAATGATTAATATCAATATAGAACAACAGTATTCAGTTCCCAGGACATCAGTTAGTTACTTTTTCATTGACGAATAAGAACTTAAAAGCAGCATAAAATTTATATGAAATTGAAAGTGTTGTACAGGTTAAATTATTTTCAATATCTCTGCTTCATAACAAGTGTAACATCTTGCATTAGAAGTAATAAATAAACAGTAATTGAATTCACTAAGGCTCTGTTTGGTTAGATGGAAATAGAAGGAAAGGAAAAATATAATTTTTTTTATTAACACTTTAAGAGTTAGAATAGAAGGAAAAGGAAAATTTTGGAGAGAGAGAGAGAGGTTGCATGCTAAAGCAAAGAGAGAACATAGAGGATGAAAAAAGGATTAGACCAGAGGAAAGAGTATAGCCATTACCTCAAAATTAGAGGAAACAGTCAAAGCTGGTGATGACGGACTATTCTTAGAAACTTCAGAATCTAAAATGTTTCCAGCCAATCTAGCAGTTTCTCTGCAGTGTCAACACATAATGTTAAATAAAGAGTCTATAGTCTATAGTAGTACATGGTTTACATGAAAAAAAGTTTGGCACTGAATTGTGATAATAGCAATAAAATGACCAAGCTGCAAGATGTTAATAATTGCTAACAGAATCAAAGTCGAGGCAACTGAGAAAAAACAAGCCTATTTGTGCGGATAAGAGAAAACTTAGCACAAGAATACCTTAATGTCAATTCCTAACTACGAGAGTAAATTAAGCCCAAACTGGTCCAACTTTCTTGAGCATATGATTGGCCCGAAATGAAACCCTGCATAGTCGGGCCTGTCCCTCCCTCTTGAGGGCTGGGCCAAAATGAGCTCAGCTTCAGGCCTCTGGATTGGGATTCAGACCAGTTTGACAAAGGCATTAATTAAATAACTGTTAGCATATATGATAGCCACGATTTATGAAATGACTTACCATATTAGCAGAGATTTGATTATGCTATAGAATATGCCATAGAATATGCTTTTTAGAATATGTTGTGATTTGATTTAGATTCGATTTAGTTTCCTTTCTTGTAATATGAGCATGTGCTCTTTTTATCCATAAATACTAGAGTTGTGAATGAGTAATTCATCTCATTCAAGCCTTTACACAATTCTCTCCTTTTTTCTTCTTTTTATATTTCTACTTGGTATCAAAGCCAACACCTTTCCCCACCTTTCAACAGCCTTGCTACTTGTGCAACAGCCACCTTAGGCTGTTTGTGACATCGTGTGACGTTGCCTACACATTTTTTTCTATGTTGCTATTTTGTGATCGAAAACAGGTATTTTTAAGTTTTACAATTTCTTTTTTACTCTTTTAGGGTCAAGTAAACTGGGATGGTTGGTCTCCAACACCTAGAAGGGCTTGGGTAAAAAAAATTTAGTCTACAAAGAGGTTCGGATATTAAGAATAAGGTTGTTTGGCCATATGTAAACGGGTAGCGCTCCTTAAAAAAAGTATGTATTTGGATTTTTCGGGAAAGGTCTGAGGAGACATTGTTATTGTTTAAGGTCTGAAGAGACCCGTTGATTTATTAACAGAATTTGTGGTGTTTTTTAAATTTTTTATTGTCATGTGACAAATTATGGCAGATTCAAGGTCGACTATTAATTTTCTTGGCTGAAATTCTGTGGGTGGTGGTGCCATTTTTCCCACCAATCATCAGAAAATCTAGGACTTCAAATCACCACAGTGAAGTTGGATGGTTCTAACTATTTAATTTGGGCACATTCTGCCAAGATGTTCACTGGTGGCAAAGGCAAGATTGGCTATATTACTGGTTCTGAGAAAGAGCCAGCTGAGTCAAAGAAGGCATATCCACAATGGTTTGCAGATAATGCTATAGTTATGTCTTGGCTAGTCAATTCGATGCGCAACCAAACATAGATGTTGGCTATATGTTTATGAAGACTACTAAGCAGATTTGGGATTCAGTTCAACGCACTTAATTTTTTTTTATAAGTAAAAATTTATATAAAACGCTCAAAAGGGGAGCGGATCCCAAAGAAACACAAAGGCCAAAAAAAGCCTCAAGCCTTCAAAGAGGCCAAAAAACAAACAATCTCCTCCAAAGATCTATAATCTCTCCCTGAACTCCAACAAAAAAGAGTGGAAATAATAGAGAACTTAAGCAAAGAGACAGGCTTCTCCTTTCCATCAAAATATCTTCGATTTCTCTCCAACCAAATGCACCACCAAATACAAAGAGGAGTAGCCCTCCAGTCATCCTGAATGAGAGCCCCAACTGAGAAGCCTCTTCAAGCCTCAATCAACCCTCTAGTGGAACAAGGCATAACATAGGGAACTCCAAACAAACCAAACATCAAAACCCAACAGTCTCTGGCCATACTGCAATGCAACAGAAGATGATCAATTGTCTCCTTATCACGCAAGCACAAGTAACAACGGTTAACCACCACCTGATTCCTCCTCCTCAAATTATCCTGGATTAAAATCCTTCCCAAAACAGAAGTCCAAGCAAAGAAGGCCACTTAGAACGCCAAATAGACTTCCAAGGGAAGGGGCCCCTAGCATCAACTGTAAGATACCTGAAAAAAGACCTAACCTCGAACCGACCTTGAGAGTTAGGAACCCAAAGCCAACCATCCGAATCCCCATCAGTGATCACCTGGCTATACAAAACTTCCAACAAACGAGAAACGTCCTCAATCTCCCAATCCTGAAAATTCCTCCTAAACTGAACATCCCAAAGTCGGTCTCCCGTTATCAAGATGATAACAGTCAACCACCATGGCCTGTCTATGAGAAGCAATCCTAAAGAGCCGAGGGAAAGAGAGAGCAAGAGAAAGCTCCCCACACCAAACATCCTCCCAAAATCTAATCCTCCTACCATCCCTGATCCGAAAGCGAGCATAATTGCAAAAATCCTCCCACCCCTTCCGAATGAAGGTCTAAACCCCCACCCCCCTAGGACCACGCACCTTAAGAAAACTCCACCCTCCGTTGCTCTCCCCAAATTTGCTAGCGATAACTCTACTCCAAAGCTAATGTCTCTCAACCCCAAACCTCCATATCCATTTCCCGAGGAGAGCCTTATTGAAAGGCAATAACCTCCTAAGCCCTAAACCTCCACATTGAATCGGACGAACCACCCCCCCAACCAAAAAAAAAAAAGAAAAGAAAATTGCGCTGCAACCTCTCAATTCTCTCAGCTACAGAAGAATGAATCTGAAAGAGAGAGATGAAATAAGTGGGGAGGCTAGAAAGGGTGCTCTTGATCAGAGTGACCCTCCCTCCCTTAGAGAGATACTGCTTTTTCCAACCCGCTAGTCTCCTCTCAAATCTATCCACAACTGGGTCCCAGCACCCCACACATCTCGAAGGAGCTCCCAGAGGCAACCCTAAGTAAGAAATACGGAAAGAGCCAGTACGACATCCAAAAATCTGAGCAAACATCTCGATCTCAGGAACCTCCCCAACCGGAACCAGAACACTCTTTCCTACATTCACCTTAAGCCCAGAAACAACTTGGAACCAAATCAAAACACATCTCAAATACCTCAGTTAGGACGCATCAACATCACAAAGAACTAAAGTATCATCCGCAAACATCAAGTGGGAATTTCCAACTGACTAACAACATCTCTGCCCACCCGAAATCCTCTCAAAAACCCAAAACTCAACAGCCCTCTTCAACAATCTACTAAGAGCCTCAATCACAAAAAGGAACAGGAAAGGAGAAAGCGGATCCCTTGTCTCAACCCCCTTGAACTAGTGAAAAACCCCGACGGAGCACCATTCACAAGGATAGAATAATGCACGGAATTTCCAGCTGGGGCGAGATATCACCAAGCTATGAAGCACAGACACGGACACGGACACGGGGCATGGGTACGATACGACACGAATACGGCGATACGGCAATAAAATAATATATATATATTATAATATATATATATATATATTATAATATATATATATATATATATTTTTGGGCAAGGGGTACGATACGACACGGATACGGCGATACGGCAATAAAATTATATATATATATATATATATATATATATATATATATATATATTACTCAATTTCTAATTTATATTTAATAAACACAACTTTTAGGCCCGTTATTTAATAAACACAACTTTTAGCCCCAAAATACAGCCCAAGCATCATTGAGCCCAAGCCCATTCACTAAGACAAAGCTTACATGCAATTAGCAACTTAACCCTAATTGTATAGAGAATCAAAAGTCAGCACACTAACACACTTGCGTACACCACCACAGTCTGGTGTGTGTGAGAGAAAGCCACAGAGCAGATCCGAAGCATCATCCCGCCGATCATTTCCTAGAGAGAGATCCAAGAACAAAGTGTTCTCATTCACCTGCAAGATAAAGCCCGCAGAATCAAGATCTGCTTCTTCAGTAGTTTTGAGGAACCAGATTTGGTAAGGTTGAGGTGACCAGCAAAAACCACAAACCATTTGTTAGGCTATCACGAATTTTTTTAATAATAATATGGTCCTGTAGTTTTATACCTTTGTGGGTTAAAACTAGGCAAAGGAAATCGATTGATTCCTGTCAAGTTAATTAAACTCTAAGAGTAGAATAGACACCATCAAAGTCCGATGTGCGAAGGGGAACGAAGCAAATCTGATCCGGAACCATCTCGCTGATCAATCAGTTCGGTGGCTCTGGCTGCAGCCGAATAAATTCAGGAAGATCCCAATCGAGTTGCACTCTTCTAGCCTGTGTATATATCTCTTTATTTATTTTTATTTTTTGGACAAAAAATCTGAATCCCGTGTCTTATGCGTGTCGCCAGCGTGTCCTTCGCCGTGTCCAGCATGAAAAATATGATAAAACAATAGGACACCTCTACAAAGGTGTCGGACACGTGTCGGAGCCTCTGTCGGACACGTGTCTGACACCAATACGACCACCCATTCCGACGTGTCGGTGCTTCATAGTCACCATGATTTCTCAGGGTGACTTGATACTTTCAGGTTACATCGCCAAGCTTCGTGCTATTTGGGAGGAGATGTCATATTATGATTCCTTCCACTCTTGGAAGGATCCAGATGATGCAGTTTTATATGCAAGGATTGTGGAGAAGAATCGAGTGTTTCAGTTTCTTGCCGGGTTGAACGACGTGTTTGAGTATGCTCGTGTTCATTTATTGGGCTTATCTTCATTCCCTACTCCTGAAGATGCATACTCCTATGTGTTGTCCGATGACAGCCGCCGGCCTCATCCATTAGGTGTTGCTCCCGTTGATCGTTCTGCTATGGCAGTTCAGGTTCCCAACCTCTCAGGAACTACACCATCCTAGTCAAGCTCTACCACCGGTCCTCCTCTGGGACGTCAACGCGGACTGTGTGACCATTGCGGAAAAATTGGTCACATCAAATCTCATTGTTATGCTTTACATAGACGCTAACCGCAACAAAAACAACAACCTCAATCCTCTGCACATTATGTTACACAACCAGTCTCGCTGTCAACTCCTGACTACTCTACCTCTACATCTTCTGCCACAATTACCTTGACTCAGGCTAATTTGGACAAGTTCAAACAATTCTTCAACCAAATGGAGGCATCATCTTAGCCAACCTCCACTTATGCCCACTCAGGTACTATTACGTCTACACATAGCGTATCTACATCTTCGACACCATAGATCATTGATTGGTGCTTCAGATAATATGACTGGTATGTCCTTATTCTTCCAATCTTATAGTATCTGCTTTGGCGATTGCAAGGTACGCCTTGCAGATGGCTCTCCATCTTCCATTACTGGGAAGGGTTACATATCAATCACTCCTTCATTAACTTTGTCAGATACACTTCATGTTCCACAATTGACTACAAATCTTATTTCTATTAGTAGCGTTACCAAACAATTAAATTGTAGTGTAACGTTCTTTCCCTCTCATTGTATTTTTCAAGATCTGGTGTCGAAACGAACGATTGGCAGTGAGCGTGAAGTGGATGGTCTATACCTGTTGGATGCTCCTTTGTCACCTCAAGCACATTCAGCTTCATTCTCTAATTTTGTTTCATCTAATAAAGCAGAGCTTATCTGTTGGCACATGCGTTTAGGACATATTTCTTCCGGTTATTTAAAACATTTATTTCCTTCCTTATTTTGTAATGTGGCAGTGTCAGATTTATCCTATAAGACATGTCATATGGCTAAACATGTTCGTTCCAATTATCCTGCTAGTAGTAATAAACTTGCTTTAACACCTTTTGATCTTGTTCATTCAGATGTGTGGGGTCCTTGCCCAGTTAATTCTAGTCTTGGATTTCGATATTTCGTGTTGTTCATTGATGATCATAGTCGTGTTACATGGGTTTATCTTATGAAAACCAAAAATGAGGTATACACCATTTTTAAAAATTTTATGACAATGGTTCAAACTCAATATGGTCGTACCATTAAAAAATTCATATCTAACCAGGGTACGGAGTACACTTATGGGGAGGTACAGCGATTATGTACAGAATTTGGGATTGAGCATCAGTGGCTAATGTTAAAACTCCTCAACAGAATGGCCATTCTGAGAGAGAATCGCCACATGAATGTTCCCCAGTCATTTTGGGGACATGCATTTCTTACAGTTGTTTGGGGAGATGCAGTTCTTACAGTTGTTTACATCATTAATAGGACTCCTTCTAGGGTTCTTAACTTTGCAGCCCCACTCTCAATCTTACATCCCAATTCATCTCTTTTTTTTTAAAGTGTGTGTGCTTTGTTCAACAGTTGGGGCAGACTCATACAAAGCTTAACCCCAAGGCTTTAAAGTGTGTTTTTGGGCTAGTCTCACTCTCAAAAAGGTTATAGGTGTTACCATCCTCCCGGTCGTCGGCGGTTTATATCCATGGATGTTTCTTTCTTTGAGTATACAGCATACTATAGTGGCTCAGCTGGTTCTCAAAGTGAATGGTTCCCATTGAATATAATGGATGATCACCTTCTCCCGCCTTCAACTTCTTTACCGTAACCTGTTTTATCTTCTATGATTCCCCCTCATGATACCCCTCCAGTAGGGGAAATTGTTCCTTTTTCACAGGTTTATAGTCGAAGACAACAGGTACAAGCTTCTACTCCCACGATCGACTGCCCTGTTCCTTCGGCACCAGCTCCGCCTTCTCAAGCTATTGTTTTGCTTGATGATCGCCCCCATTGCTCTTCGAAAGGGTAAACGTTCTTGTACATACCCTATTTCTAATTTTGTTTCTGATTATGCTCTCTCACCCTCCTATCGGAATTTTCTTATTTATGTTGCCTCGGTTCCTCTTCCTTCTAGTGTTATAGATGCACTAGCACAACCTCAATGGCATGATGCGATGACAGAAGAACTACAAGCACTTGAGAAAAATCAGACTTGGGACATGGTTCTGCTTCCTATTGGACGAAAGGTTGTGGGGAGTTTACAGTTAAGCATAATCCAGGTCAATTGCTCGTTACAAGGCCCGGTTGGTTTCCAAGGGTTATGCTCAGATTTATGGCATAGATTATCAGAAGACTTTTGCCCCTGTTGCCAACATGAATACCATCCGTGTATTATTTTCCGTTGCTGCGATTCGATCTTGGCCTCTATTTCAGTTAGATGTCAAGAATGCCTTTCTCAATGGTGATTTGGAGAAGGAGGTGTACATGGTTCTTCCTTTGGGCTTTCGTTCTCCTGCTCATTCTAGTATAGTATGTCGTCTTCGTCGTTCTCTGTATGGCCTCAAGCAGTCTCCTCGAGCTTGGTCAAATCGCTTTGGCACTGCCATGCTCAAGTTTGGTTTCCATCAAAGTGCAACTGATCATATCTTGTTTTTACGTCATTCAGGCAGTAAGACAGTTGCTCTCATTGTGTATGTCGATGATATTGCTCTTACCGGCGATGATACTACCGGAATTGCTGAGGTTAAGAGCTATCTTGGCTGTCAGTTTGAGATTAAGGATCTTGGTCCCCTACGGTACTTCTTGGGCATTGAGGTGGCTCGCTCCAAGGCTGGCATTTTCATCTCTCAAAGCAAGCATTTTCCGTAGCTCGCCCAGTGTGGTAGCTTGACAGTGCCTCGCACCCGCCCACGGCACACCCGCCCATAAGGTCGCCACAATATATCTATCCTTGTTCTTTCTGCTCTCGTGCTTTTTCTCACTCCAAATCTATCTGCATTCAACAGAACCCCAGAAGAGTTCCAACTTCCTTTTTGATAAAGCAAAAATGAAGGACACAAACCACATGATGAAGATCTACATGCAGGGTATAGAGATGGAATAGAACATAGGTAGTTGTTGATGATCACTTTTTCTCTCTCCCTACTCTGTTTGATGCTATGGAGGAAGAGAGGGAATGGCTCGAATGGGTGATGGTGACCGAGAGATATGGCTCTAAAGAGCACATAAAAATCTTCTTGATGTGAATGATGGATCGATGTCAAAAACATTGCGAGTTCTTTAAAGAACTGCCAACAATTGGAAGAAGTGGCAATGGCGGGGCTTGCTGTGGACCTAAGTTTACTTACTCACAATGGACAGCGATGTTGCTTCCCTGTATGTGATCTTGACCCAAGACCTAGGTTTAATCTACGGGCTGGCTACACGTAGATTATATTTTCAACATGCATATCTTAATAAATATTATATTTTATCTAGAGTGATAAAAGTACCAATTAATTTGCTCATGTCAGCTACCTGTTAACCAGGGCACTCTTTAAAATTTTGGAGGCTTACTACATAAAAAGCGCATGAATGGTAAATGTTCAGCTAGATGGGCCAACCTCTCATTCACAATATGAAGAATCGGATAAAATGGACCAGCAATCATTGCAAGAAAACGTATATTGGGCTCCGCAGCATCAGAAAAGCTATTGAGATCTACCTGCAAAATAACCAGGAAAAAAGAAGAAGAAATAATTCAACAAAATTTTAGCAGAAACAAGACAGAAAAACAGTGCTAAACTTACTGAGGCCATAAGATACCTCAAGTTGGGGAAGGAACACAACCAACCGATTTGTCATGTCTTGAAGCAACTACAAACTAATGGGCATTAGAAGACACAGACATATGGTAATATAAGAAATAATTATTTGTATGTAGTTAGCATAAAAAATACAATCCACCTGAAGATGCAAATCATGAGCATCTTGTTTGTGTGATACTATGTGAGGCAGCAAGTGATTAACAACTGGTTGAAACTCTGGTTCAAGCCCAGCAACTGGAACCCCAATTAACTGCAGCAAAGATCAGTCTGTAAGATCAAATCGAATTTCGAAAATTCATGGAATATAGAAATATTACCAGGAACATTGGTCATTTAAAACATGGAATGGGAAAGGGGCATTATATGTCACAACTCAAAAATGTGGAGCCAAAAATTTACTTCAATGGGGGCAACCATTAACAATAATATCATAAGAAATTTTGAACCAAAATAATATATAGTAAGGAGGGGTCTGTTCAAAATTTTGTTTTTTAAAAATTTTGCGAACCTGCTAGAGGAGAAAAGACATAGGTATGGGTATTTTTTAAAAATTTGAAAATATTGTTGGGCAAATAAGGTAGAAAATGAGGGGTCTTTTTGAATTTTAAAAGTTTTTCTTAAGGTCTTTTGTGAATTTTTTAAGAGTTCAATCAAGGCACTTATATAATTATCAAAATTGTGTATCAAAAATGCAAATAACAGAAGATTCAATACCAAAGGAGAGGTTGTTTCTGAAATTTGATTCTTAAAAATTTGTTGGAACCCGTTGGAGAAGAAAAGACATAGGTATTTTCTAAATTTTAAAATCTTGTTACGCAAATGAGATAGAAAATGAGAGGTCTTTTTGAGTTTTAGAAGTTTTTCTTAAGGTCTTTTGTGAATATTTAAGAGTTCAGTGGGGGCATCTTTCTAATTCTTAAAATTTGTGTATGAAAAATTCAAATAACATAAAATTCCAGTGGGGGCAATTGCCCCCACTGGTCCCAACGTGGATCTAAAGTAACATGGTGGTTCTAAAGGCAAGAGTTTCTTCTTTTCCCTAGTAGACAAGTAACAAGACATTGTATCTTAAAAGGAAAAAATAATAATTTACATTTGCTTTTGAAAGACTATTTTATTAGAATTGATGACAAAAATCAATTTTCTTTTTTTTAAGTAAGATTTCAATGAAGGGCTGCTCCCAAAAGGGGAGAGCATCCCATATATAAAAAGCAAAGCCCAAAAACATATACCCTCAAGCTATCCACAAAAGACAATAGATCCTCCATAGATTTACAATTTCTCCCCTTAGACCACAAAAATAAAGAACTAAGTACATAGAACTTCGACAACCCACTAGGAGACTCCTCCCCATCAAAAGAGCTCCTATTTTTTTCCTTCCACAAATGCTGGTAATGTGGCTACAAAAGAAGTTTTGGAGAACCTGCAGCAGCAAATTAATCAGTTGTGTTTGCCCTCCTAATTCAACCGTTGGAAGACAAAGGGGACATCAAATGAATGTATATCAACAGGGAAATTGGAGGAACTAGCTTGCTGTAGAAAGATTTCAACACAAGAATTTTCAGATGAAGAAGATGGAGTTTTACCATATGCAAGGCAACCGGTTTTTAATCGTTACTTTTAGAGAGATCAAGATCCACGTATTAAGGTGAAAATTCCAACTTTCACTAGGGAAGAGCATCCGGAGGAAGTTTTGGACTGGTTAAATGAAGTCGGAAGGATCTTTGAGTTCCTTGACCTTCCAGATAATAAGAAGATAAAATTGGTAGCTATTAAGATGAAGGGATATGCTCCTTGGTGACAGCAAGTTCAAACAACCAGAGTTCAGTCTGGAAAGGATCGTGTTCAACCTGGAGAGCCAATTCCTTCCATTAAACTACGAAGGAATTCTATTTCGGCATTATCAGTCCCTTTATCAAGGAGCTCTCTCAGTTCGGGAATAGACAAATGAGTTCTATAAGATGAGAACACGAGTACAATTGGGTGAGACAGAAACACAGGTGATTCATCGTTATTTGATGGAATTAAGGCTAGGTATAAGAAACCACGTGGAGTTACAGCCTTGTTGGACCTTAGCAAGTGTTGTCCAATTGTCCAATCAATTCAGAAGAGCACAAGTACAATTGGAATCTGAACTTGGTCAAGAAAACATCACTTAGAAGGCTGGAGCAACAACCAATGCTATGCAGAAAAATAATACAGCGCCTGTTACCTATGGATGTCGTCGGGGCTGGGGACTAGTAACTTGCTTATCAACGAAAATGAATCAAACAATACGGAGGTTCGATTTGATGAAGCGCAAGATGATGAAGGTCTGCCGGAATTTGAAGAAAATGAAGTCACATTTGAAGATAGAGATCTTCCAAGTCTGGTGGTATGGCGACTATGTTAACACCAAAACAACCGGAAGGTGATTGGAGGCGAAACAACATTTTCAGAACTAGATGTACATCTCACTGACAACTTTGTAACGTCATCATTGATGGTGGCAGCTGTAAGAATTTAGTCTCTAAGAGATGGTTACAAAGCTGAAACTAGAGGTGCATCCACATCCAAAGCCATATCAGATAGCTCGGTTCAAGAAAGGAGGTGAAGGGTAACATAACAATGGCTTGTTCCTTTTTCAATTGAGAAATGTCATTCAGATAGAGTCATGTGTGATGTGGTGAATATGGAAGCTTGTCATCTCTTATTAAAGAATGTATACAGTATACGCCTTTTAAAAGGATGGAGTTAAGGTGATCCTTGCTCCAATAAAAGATGAAGACTTTCCCAAGTCTAAAAAGGAGGAAAGACATGGTTAATTGACATCTCGGCAATTTTTAAATGAATTTGAGGACAAAGGAGTTGCATGTTTTGCTCATCAGGAAAAGAATGGAAAACTGCAAGAAGTACCTGAGACAAATTGCTGAATGAATTTATACTACATTTGGTGTGCAGGAATGCAATGGAAAAGAATGCCAATTCCAACCATTCCTTTGTTTAGTATGCAATTTAAAGTGGGAATGGCCATTCCATTTGAATGAAAATTCATTCTTGGGAATGAAATCCATTCCACAACTAAACCCATAGAATGAACATTCCATTCCAAGTAATGTTTTAAAAAAAATCATGTTCCCAAAAAACCATCATGCTCCAAGTCCAAAAACCACCACCGCCAACTTTCACCTACCACCATCACTGCCACCGCCACCATTGTTTCCACCTTCAACCACCACACCGCCGCCACCTCCACTACCTTTAGCCACCTCCACCGTGGCCGCCACCACCGACTTCCACCAATGCCACCGACTTCCACTACTACCACCTTCGACCACCGCCTCCTCCACTCCCTTCCACCACCATCACTATTACCAACACCGCCGCCGCCGCCTTCACCATCACCGCCGCCTTCCACCACCACTGCCGCCTTCCACCACCTCCACCACCGTCACGTAGCTGCCTTCCGCCACCATCACGCCCGTCCCCGTCGCCGCCTCCACTACCTTCCATCACCACCTCCACCTCCACCACTACCGCCACTTCCACCTTCACCGACTTCTACCACCACCGCCGCCACCTCCACCTCCACTACCACCGACTTCCACCACTGACTTCCATGATTCCATCACCACCACCACCTTCCACCACTGCCGCCATCACCTCCACCTCTACCACCACCACCACTGACTTCCATCACCTTCCACCACCGTCGCCGCCACCTCCACCATCACCGACTTGCACCACTGCCACCACCTTCCACCACCACCACCGCCACCTCCACTGCTGTCTTCCACCACCACCGTCACCTCCACTACCTTCCACCACCACCTACACCACTGTCGTCTTCCACCACCACCACGCCACTGCCTTCCACCATCATCACCTACACCACTAACTTCTTCTACCATTACCTTCACCGCCACCGCCTTCTACCAACACCCTGCTGCCTTCCGCCACCACCGCCATCACCTTCCAACACCACCACTACCGCTTTCCACCTCCACCACCATCAATCACCGCCGCCATTTCTTTCAAAAAAATTATAGAAGAATGTTATTTTGCCAATTTATATTATTTGTCACTTAAAGGGGTATTTTGGATGATTCAATTAGAAATTCATTCTTTTCTAAATTTTACATTAGTCCATTCCTACAGATTTCATATTTGCAACCAAACAATAGAACGAGAATGACCATTCCATTCCATTCCCATTCTCATTCCATTCTCATTGCATTCCATTCCATTCTTGCACACCAAAAGCAACATTAGTGAAGTTTTCCCTGCTGACTTGCCTGTGGGATTGCCACTACAAAGGACTATCCAGCACCATATTGTTTTGATGACAGGGGCTAGGCTACCAAACTTGCCCCATTATCGAATGTGTCCAAGAGAGCATGAATAACTCCAAAGACAAGTTGAGGAGCTACCGGAGAAGGGATTTATTGGAGAATCCATGAGCCAATGTGCAATCCCAGCACTCTCGACTCCGAAGAAAGAGGGAGCGTGGAGGATATGCATCAATAGTTCAGCAATCAACAAGATTACGAGACAGTACCGCTTTCCAATACCATGGTTAGATGACATGTTAGACATGCTGCATGAGGAAAGTGTCTTCAGCAAAATTGATTTGAAGAGCGGTTATCACCAAATCAGAATTCGCAATGGTGATGAATGGTAGACAGCATTTAAAACAAAAGAAGGCTCTATGAGTGGTGGGCGATGCCTTTTGGTTTGTCAAATGCACCCAGTACCTTCATACGTTTGATGAATCAAATTTTGAAGCCATTTATTGGAACGTTTGTTGTGGTGTACTTTGACGACGTTCTGATTTACAGTCCATCCAGAGATTCTCACTTGCAGCAGTTAAGGGAAGTATTAGGGGTTTTACGACAAGAGAAACTCTATGCTAACCTGAAAAAGTACCATTTTATCACTAATTACTTGCTGTTTTTGGGATACGTCATCAGTGCAGAAGGAATAAAAGTAAATGACAGCAAAGTGTCAGCCATTAGAAGCTGGCCAACACCAACTACAGTTGCAGAAGTACGCAGTTTTCATGGTCTTCTTGCTACCTTTTATAGACGTTTCATCAAGAATTTCAGCACTGTAATTGCTCCGGTGACTGATTGTTTGAAGAAAGGCAAGTTTGAATGGACAAACAAAGCTGAAGAGAGCTTCAAGCAGATCAAAGAAAAGAAATGTTCAGCCCGTCCCCTTGCATTACCAGATTTCGAAAATATATTTGAAGTAGAATGTGATGCTTCTGGA